TGATTTTTGCATTCAAGTACATTTTATACTATAAGTACTGTTGGTTGAAAATGGTCCAAAATAATATGACTTTCATTAAAGAATCCCATTAAGATTTGATTTATGAGAAATTTCTTGTATTAAAATTTAATATTGCATTCTTTTAAAAGTTGTTTCTCAAAATATTACTTTGTGAAACTTTTGTGCCTAAAAATGTATTAAGTCTCCCCGCCAACCAACTGATTGAACCCATCTTAGCTTTGAATAAAATTACATATTTACATCTAGTTTAAAGTACTTACGTTTAATTTAATAAATTATGACTAAATGTAGTTTTATACTTAACATAAAATCGAATGATTTAAACAAAATTTTAATAACCTTAGAGGTTTTCCCATTGTGTTTTCCAATAAACTATTTTTATTTCTAAAAGTTTAAGAAGACAAAAGGAGGTTGAATTAGATTTTTTTATTAATTTATTGCTTAATCTACATTTAATTGACAAGCAACATGATAAGTGTATAACAAAATCAGTAAATTAAATTTGACATGGTTGCTGGTGCAATGATAAACTCATCTCGTATCACAGATTTGGCCCTCTCTACTAAACATACTTGTTAAACTGGTGGCAAATGTAGCTTTCAAGTCTTCCTACAAGCAGAGGTTCGATCCCCATACTTGTAAAATACTTCTTAAGCCTAATAATATGTGGCTTAGCTGGCAGGAAGGCCCACCTTAAATAAGCCGACAGCATTGGTTAATTCAATGGTGGCTTCTTTTTGGAGGCAGAGGACACAAATTTTTATTTTTTAGGTTTTGTTTTGGTTAGATGTTGACATACTAAGTTGAAATGCATATGACATAACGTAGTAACATAGTACATCAGTAGATAAACCATAAATAATTCCCGTGTCAATGGGTCTAATGCTAAAGCATCATATAATAACAGTCTACAAATAAAGCTGTACACTGGAGACTCGCAATCAAACATACTAATGTTACGGTAACTAATAAGGAGGTGGGATTATAGTAGATTAGTAAATCAACATGGCTAGAAAAATTGGCATACATGATAGTTAAACTGAGATAGAGGTAAAAATACAAATGAACAATTAGCAAAACATATATCGTCATGTTTCAAGATCCCCAATTGAGCAAATGAAATATTTTGGATTAACGTTTTAACATGAAAGAAATTTCTTTAAAAATCACATAAGGTTCCAAAATGAGGGAAAATTCAGAGTAATATTTACTGAAGTTTTGAAAGATATTGAAAAATAGTAGGGGGCTGTGTATGGCTTACACAATATTACAATCCTTTGTTCTTACTTTCCAAACACATTTTGTATTGTTATTGTTAAGTAAAATGTTGGTTGATAAAATTGGACAATTAAACATAATTCGAGGGATAAAAGTTATATTCAATCAAACTTGTGTTGTTTAAAAAATGAATAAAAGAATATTTTATTTTTAGAATGACTGACAAAATATCCTTAATTTTTACTATTTTTAGTAAAGCATTTTTATTTAATAATGTGCCAATGTAGGTGTAGTTGCAATACATTTCATTGTAATATTGAGTGCACAAAATATTGTTAATCAAAGACCAAATACTTTTTCTAGCAATAAAACCACAAGTGTGTTTGATGTTACATTTTTAAGAGGTTTATTAAAACAGTACATTGTAAAGATTGACGTTCCCTTGCACACTGGTAGTTATAACACCTAAATAAAACGGTTGTAAGCTAAAATTCAAAAATTGTCTTGGTATCACTAAAAATATTTTAATAAATTAAGTTTGTTTGATGTTTCTTAATGCAAACTAAACAAAACTTGTGTTTAATTATTTTAAAAGTAACTTATGCTAATTATTTAAGTTTGGTTATAATATAAAAGCTATCTACAATATATAAAAATAAAAATATTAGTAAAAATATCATTACGTAAGGTATGTCTAAAGTGGTAATTAAAATAGTACAGTTTGACGTCTCCAAGAAAATGAATAATATAACAAACTTTATTTGATAATAACGTATCTTGATTTGATCATCGATATGGCAATTGATATGGTTTCCTTACCAAATACAAAGGATGTTTTAATCTGAATTTTGTTTTTGATTCTCTGTTTGATAAATAAAGAAAGGTATATCAACAGGGATGTATAGTTATATACAAACATATTGTTTTAAATTTTACATTCAAATAGAAAGGTATATCTTCCGTAGCACATTGAGTGGTTGATTTGAAAAAGTTTACTAACTTGCCTGTGAAATGATCACGGCAAGTTTTTATTTGGTCTACAAACAAATCCGGATGATTAAAAAAATATTCAAGTAAAAAATAACTAAAATACCAAAAATAAAAAAAAAAACTCATATTTCTACTTTTAACACGTTTGCTGCGGCCCGCCAAAATAGTTGGCTTTCAAATATTTCGGTCTGACGAATAGTAAATGACATGGGGTGATGTGCTGTGCTACAACGAGAGTTGACACGGTTTGCTAAAACACTCACAGATAGCAGCACTGCCTGGAACTAGCCGGTCTCATTGTATTGCTAATTGAAGGGAGAAGTACGGAACAACAAGTTGATTTCTAAGCTTGGCAGGAGGGGATTTTACGGGGAAATTTACAACCAACCTACACCACAATAAAGCACCCATTCCGAGCAAAGACATAAAAATACCCGTTCTTTCCAGTGTGCTGCTGCACAGAAATTGAATGGAATAAAGGCGATGCTGGCACTCAACGGTGAGCGTTCACCGGTGCTGGAACTAGAGCACTCATCGGCGAGTGGCCCGCAGCGAACGTGTTAACAGTAACGTTTTGTATTTAGTATTAAACGAAATAGTAGTATTTTAATGAATAAAAATACCACTCTAAATATACAATTTACCTGTCGGATGGATAAAAACTCTACAATCACAAACATACGCTGAACATTCAATAACTATTTGCAAACTTTAACAAGTCTATCGTGACAAAAAGATCCATCTTTTTTAAACCAACCACTGGCATAATAAAACGTTAACAATTCATCTAACTCCTTACCTACTTTGGTGAAAACCCTGAAAACTGGGTCCATTCGTTGTTCATATATGCAAATTTACACATCACTTGTACTAAGCGAGTCTGATTCATCACTATAAATTGTTCGCTAGAGTCAGTTCACTAAGAAGCCTTAGGTACTCCCTTTCACTCAGTTCTGCATCGTCTAAACTTCTTCTTCTTCGACCTGAATGACTTGTGACTTCTATGCAGAGCACAGCAAACGAGTGGTCGCAGGTAAATCGTTCCTGAAAATGTATGGAAGTTTTCACTTTTAATTAATTGTACCAGTAAGTTAAATAAGCTTACAAATAAATCAACAAAATTCAGAAAAAACTTTCAAATTTAGTTCTTTGTAGGGTAAAGTATCTACTCGTAGTTTAGGAACAAATTAAGGGAGAAGTAGTGATAAGTAACTAACTAACCAATGAGAAGAGTTTCAGTGGCACACAACAAGTTCAAAACAAAATTAATTTGATATTTCACCCCACAACTGCAACTCAAGCACCATAAATACTACAGCATGTTCTAGTAAGGGGTTTAACTGGTATTTCATAATCAGTCATTCACTAAATTTAGATTATAATTACTTAAAATGAAGATATTATATTTTATGTAAATATACATCTGACAAGTTAAGAATAGACTATAAGTCTGTGTTTGAAAATGAACACTATCATCAGCTGGTTTATTAACGAATGGTAAAATAGTGGCCAATGATGATAGCTTGTTCAAATTGTCATAGTTAGTTAGTAACCTTCAAGGAAACCCATAAGCATTAGCGTAATGTTAAAAATTCTTAACTATAATTATTTATTTTAAATTGAATAGACATTACAAATTAGGATTTGTTTATTTAAAACGATTCTCTGTGTTTGTTGAAATAACCTTGATAAGTTTGGCTGAGATTCACGCAATTCAGCCATTACTGCGTGATGTGATTACAAATTTGTCATGAGGCCCAGTGTCTATGAGTTGCGCTGCTCTGCTCAACTACTCCCAACTAAGGCTTGATATACTTGTATTTTGTTAGTGACTGTGGAAGCTTACAACCACTGTATTATGTTGCATTTACCTGGCCCAGGAGTTGAGACGAAGGCAGCAATGGAGAGGCCAAACCTAACCTCTCAGAGCTGCCCGAGTCCCAGGCATCACAGTACAGCTCCATGGCTCTCTCTCCTGACACTAGGGAGCCGTGCCACACGTACTTCTTAGACCTGCACAATTAGACACTATGAGACACCTAGGAAATAAACACAGCGTGTATCTAGCCCTCGACAGCACCAGTAGCCAAACCTAACCTCTCAGAGCTGCCCGAGTCCCAGGCATCACAGTACAGCTCCATGGCTCTCTCTCCTGACACTAGGGAGCCGTGCCACACGTACTTCTTAGACCTGCACAATTAGACACTATGAGACACCTAGGAAATAAACACAGCGTGTATCTAGCCCTCGACAGCACCAGTAGCCAAACCTAACCTCTCAGAGCTGCCCGAGTCCCACGCATCACAGTACAGCTCCATGGCTCTCTCTCCTGACACTAGGGAGCCGTGCCACACGTACTTCTTAGACCTGCACAATTAGACACTATGAGACACCTAGGAAATAAACACAGCGTGTATCTAGCCCTCGACAGCACCAGTAGCCAAACCTAACCTCTCAGAGCTGCCCGAGTCCCACGCATCACAGTACAGCTCCATGGCTCTCTCTCCTGACACTAGGGAGCCGTGCCACACGTACTTCTTAGACCTGCACAATTAGACACTATGAGACACCTAGGAAATAAACACAGCGTGTATCTAGCCCTCGACAGCACCAGTAGCCAAACCTAACCTCTCAGAGCTGCCCGAGTCCCAGGCATCACAGTACAGCTCCATGGCTCTCTCTCCTGACACTAGGGAGCCGTGCCACACGTACTTCTTAGACCTGCACATTTAGACACTATGAGACACCTAGGAAATAAACACTGCGTGTATCTAGCCCTCGACAGCATCAGTAGCCAAACCTAACCTCTCAGAGCTGCCCGAGTCCCAGGCATCACAGTACAGCTCCATGGCTCTCTCTCCTGACACTAGGGAGCCGTGCCACACGTACTTCTTAGACCTGCACAATTAGACACTATGAGACACCTAGGAAATAAACACAGCGTGTCTCTAGTAGGCAATACCAGCAAGGTAGTTGAAACATATAGGGTCATTCCACTCTATAATTGAATGATTCCCCTGAATCACACATACTTGTTCCTCACCTCGAGTACCCCATGTCGATCAAGTCGCCTGACGACAGACCATATTTACAGTTTATTCATTTAATTTTACGAGAAGACCAACACAACTGACAGACGGTAAAATACTTGTCGGCAAAGTGGGTTCTCAATTTTATTTGATTTAAAATTGCTGTCATATGGTTTAAGAACAATGCAATTTGTTGACCAACTGTTAGTCTCCCATCATACATATAAATAAATGTTTTTATCATCATATATATTAAAACGTGACAAGGTTTTTTTATTTCTCGATTCTGAATCAACCACTTGACGGATTTTCATGATTTTTTTTTGTTGAAATAAAGATAATTTGGAGAACTAGAGAATGTCAAAGCCATAATTTTATATTGTTATAATCTTTGGCTTACCTCACGATCCAATTGATTTATTGTGGAGACCTAGGTTTCTACGCCGGAGCATTATTGCCAGTCCTAGGCTAAGCTTAACTTTTTGTTTTTCATCTCTTACTTGAGATATTGTTGGTTGGATAGAAATTTTACAAATACAAACATTGAATATACATAAATATTTACAAAGACATAGTGGAGAACATAGATCATGGCCAAGATTGCAGAGAAAATATTGGGGCCATTTCAAGATAACAGCTGTTGAGATAAGAAAGAACAGATAGCTAAGAGTTATGTTTAAACATCCAGATATATGGGTGCTTTCCAGAAGTAAAAGGCTCTGATGGACAGGCTATGCTTGGAGGAGAGACGATACATCAACTTTTAAAATGTATTCCAGGGAAAACAACAAGTAAGACGACCAGTTGGGGGACCAATCATTGAAAGACTTCTCCAGACTGGGATCAACATTAGAAGAGGATAGGGATAGAAGAGAATGGGAGGCCAAAATTCTCTTAAGGTTTCAGTGGCCACTGAGGTAAAATAAGGTACTCTAAGTGATAGTATGCAATGTAAGGTGATATGTGGCTACTGTACTTAAAACCAGTGTGTGTGAATCGACCGCCAATCTCACTTCAAAGCTTTTCAAATCAACACAATCAATGTTTTACGGTAAAATAATCATATTAAAAATGCATATCATGTAGGCCTATAATTAGAAGAAAGAAATGGTGGTCACGTGACATTTTTTAAAAAGATGATTTTCCCTATCAAAAGTCAGAATGTTTCTTTATGCGTGTAAACTAGCTGTTCTGAATTATATTCTGTTTTAATCAACTACTGTACTTGATTCCCGTACGTAGGATGGACCAACAGCTAGTTTTAGTTTACTGTATAATAGACCTATAAATCATATAAGATGTTTAGAATTGTTTATTCCGCTCTGACAACACAAAACAAAGATTTGGCTGGGACAGAGTTTACCCTAATACAAGAACATTCAGTTCTAGAGACTTAATTTAAGAAGAAAAGTTTAAACTTAATTTGAGTACAATATAACTAGTCTTCATTTATAATATGAATACTGAATAGTAGACAAAGAAGTATAAATTAAAAATAAAATAGATTACAAATGACGGTGCTAGTAATTGACAGAAGACGAAACTGCCAGGAACAATTGCTTTTAGGAGTAAGAGTTGCAGGCGGCTGAGTGTGCATCTAACCAACAATTTCATATTCATGTCCTTTCTGTTTCATTTCCTGCCTGGTGTTGCCAAAGGGCCTCTAGCTACAAACTACGCGGAAAAGGACAAAAGAAACGGCAAAATCAAACACCACGTCAAGAATTTCGTGTGCTCCCACTATCTCCGCGTTCCGCCATCTCCGAACCCAAATCTGTCCCGCCATCTCCGAATTCTTGAGTGACCCTAATCCCGTCACTGCCTGCGTTGTTAGCTGTCATTGCATCCTCGGCTGCGAAGCCCCGTGGATGGAAGATTTAATGAAAATTTAACCCGCGGGTTAGGTAAGGTCAGGTTAGGTTAGATTAGGTTAGGTTGGGTTAGGTTAGGTTAGGTTAGGTTAAGTTAAGTTAAGTTAGGTTAGGTTAGGTTTGGACGGAAAGTCTTAACGCAGGAAGTAACCGAGGATTATAGGGGTCACTCTGAAATTTGGAGGTAGCGGTACACGGAGATGGCGGGACGCGGAGATAGAGGGAGGTAACCAAGAATTTGAGGATTCGCCAGATTTTGGACATGTCATTTTGCCCCCAATCAAGTCCTGCCTGGTTTAGCAGCTTTCATTTGATAACACAAAAAACATTCACTAGTAACTTCCCTATCTGTTTTATTGCCATGTCCTATACTGTCTAGTGTAGCCCGAGCTTAACAGGGTAAAGAAGATCAGAGTTAGTCTAAGTCCCCTTTAATGCACTGCAGCTGCGGTTTTTATTGCGCTGCAAAAACATGCAACTGCAAAATTCGCATGCGGTTTGGAACTTGCGGCGCAGCAGGTTTTATCTCATTGGTAGCACTGGTGGTCGCGGCCCGCGCAACAGTGCATAAAAGCTCCCATTTGAGTCAATGTACTTATAGAATCCCAGCGGCAACTGCAGGAGCATAAAGGGGTCATTTACCTGCGTTTTTATGTCTAATAAGTATTGGAAGCTACTCACCATGAAGGGTCTGCTAAAATGTTTTTCCCACTGAAGGAGTATATCCTTGGAGGCTGTGCAAAGAAGCCTCCGTCACCAGTGAAGATACTCTTCCAGGAGTTGAACAACACATCTCCCTAAAACAAGAGTTCATGGGTTTTAAGTAAACCATACTTAACTTAACAGTGTAAATCAAATGTGGGGCTTCCAGCTAAGATTTTATCCACTGTAAAACCAGCATATTTAGTTTCTTTAACTTGCGGTATGTCCAAACAATCACTAAAATAGTAAAATATGAAAATGTTTGATCACATTACAACAAAGATAAAATTCTAGCAAAAAAAATTTTAATGGGTTTGTTCCAACAAAACCTACATTTGATGGGTAAAAGGATTTATAATATTTTAAACCACAACCAAAGAAATGTAAATTACTACAAACTAGGAAGACAATTTAATAATTTTAAATACACCTCAATGGAACCAATAATAGTTTCTCCTCTATTTTTATATACAAAAGAGTAAAGGACCTATTATTTGGGTACAGTTCTGTATTAAGATTAAGCCAAATTTGGTAACCGTAATGAATTGTTATTTAGTTAAGTAAAAGCAGTTAACGCAACTGCCAAGTAAAGATAAATTTTCTACTTGTGTCTTATAAAGACCATCAACAGAAGCAAGAGCTATAAGCAGAGGCAAGAGCTTTGGTGAGTGCCTTAAAAACTTGTACGAGTCTCTTAAAGGCTAATTACACTAGTTGCTTACACTGCTTTACCTACGATCATTTGTTATTAACGTTTGTAAAACATCATTAACCTATAGGCCGACTCTTTCTGCATAGTTCTATTTTGTCAGGCGATAGGTAGGCTACTGCTACCCATTCAACACTCATCCTTTACTCATCGTTTGGATCTAATTAATTTATGTCTGAAGACTGTTTTAAATTTTATTCATCACCACGAATCATTAATTCCTAAACTTCTATTTAGTTCTATCATTACCTTAATATTGACAACAGGCAGGTCCCAATCTGTATACCGGACGATAGAGTCCAAGTTCTGTATCCTGGATGACAGGAATGCCCGGAACGTTCCACGCAGACCTGCACGTCTCGCCTGTCTGTAGCAGGAATAGTCGGCTCCCCGCTGTCCGTTCATGCCTCCGGTGTAGGGCTCGTTGAGTGCAGCCATGCGCAGCTGTAATTATTGTCAAATGATTTAATAAAATATTTAACTAACTATTAATAGTATTAATATTAATATACAAGTAGAAATACTGTAGTCCGTCTTATAATAAAAATGGAAGTTGACTTGAACTACAATTAGTGCTGATGTAAATTTCATATTTATGTTGAATTTTTTTATCAAAGCCCCACTGAAAGAACAACCAGTTGTAATGTAAAGTATAGCACTTTTTGTGACATCAACCATCTAATAAAAAAAAATTAATTTCCTTCTGTAGCGCATTTTTGAGTGCATCATTCCAGTGTGTTCACTTAGAACAACAACTGGCTACAGCATGTCCACATAGATAGGGTATCTACTTTTGCATCCTAATGCCAGATATATATTAATAATAGCTTATTCCTTCCATTAGAAATTCGATAGGGAAATTTCCTAAAAACATCAAACTGAAACAGTAAATAACTAACAATTATCAATGAACTGAAACATGGGTAGATAAATCTAGGGGTTGGGTTAGTTGAATTTGGTTTCTGGCTGTCAGCAGGCACCTTAGGCATATCTTTTGAGTAAAGTAAAACCAAGGATAAAAGGACGGTATTGTCTCGCTACCCAGTACAGTCACTCTCCCAGCAAAGAGCATGCACATTCACGGTTTTTAGTTATCAACAGTAAAGGTGGGTTAAAATCCTAAGTGCCAAAGTCGGCTGTCAAATACAGATGCTGAATTTTGAATGTCATGCGAGTCTTGTAGTGACTGCTTTTTTGGCAGGAGCGATTTTCTAGAATGATAATATTTAATTGCAGAGTGGGTTTATGCAAAATCTGTTGAGTGTCCACAAATTGTCCCTTTTAGTCGTACTAATCTGGATCTAAGCCAACTGCATTCAACAAATCTCCAAAACAGTTCTATTAACTAAGAAAATGTCCATTGACAAAAAAAAAATATAGTGTTTGATTTGAGTTTGACACTGCTGAATGACTGCTCCAAGAACAGTCTCTTGTATGCAGTCCCTGCCAAATTCCACGGGTAGGAAAATGTCTGTAGCCCTTGTATGTTGGGTTGGTTAAAAAGATGTAGCTGTAAGCGTAAGCCAATTTGGCAGCTATGAAACCCCAAAGTGTTGTCATAACTAATCGTCCAACAATAAAGACTTAACCTTAAATCAAGCATACACATATTGCATTTTTTAGAGACTTTATTAGTATATTCCTTCGTAGTGTTTAGTATATTGTATATGTTTTTTTTGTTTTTTTTTCTTAGCACATTAGCATTTTCCATCACTTTTCGCAAGCGCTGCTTTTGTTCTAATGTGAACATTTCGTTAGATAGCCCAGATTAATTGATAGCCCAGATTAATTGATAGCCCAGATTGGTTAAGGCTATTCCACTTCCATCCTACCTCTAAAATTATTCTGCAACCATAACCTTTCAGTTGCCTAGTCAATATATGCATATTGACTAGGCAATGCTTACCACTAGGTGATAACTACTGTTATATTCAAAGCATTAATAGTTTACTTTTAAATTATATCAGGAATTAACCAAAACAAATTTTTATTTGTTCTTTTAAGCAATTACCTTAGCATTCAATTGTTGAGAGAACCAAGATATTTAATGTAAATTTAACATTTAACAAAATACTGCACTTACCATGTGTGATTGTCCCTTAGCATGAACAGTAAAATGTTAAATTAGTTAGGTATCTAACTATCACATTGTCATAGTTGGGTGTTGCTGGAATGATCCCCTATGTTCATTTAACCAAAACATTATAAGCCAAAAACAAAGGTATACTGAGCCAAATATATGCTAGGCATGAGTAGTTTCATCGTGCTATCTTTAAGTTTACACACTTATAAGGGAGGCACAGTGTACATATTGTTAGACTAAATATTAAGAGAATCAACTTACATCTCCTAAAACGATAATAACAGTTTTAACAGTCACAATAGAGCACGCCTATCCAACTGACATTCTAGGAACTAAAGCACAGTCGGCCATTATAGACAGAGATAGAAGAGCTTGGTGTTGATGAAAACAGCGCAAAAACTCAATGTTTCACTTCTAAATAACTCGCCATTTGGCATTTAGCCTACTTAGAGTAAAGGTATATGGTTGAAACATTATATGAGTGAAGTCAATGAGTCTTGGACACTATGAGTTATATTTAAAAGCTTAAAAACAAATATTTTATATTTACAAAAAATATCCAAATAAAGTAAAATTAATTGTTTGCGTTTTGAAATGTGTCATGAAAAAGTTTGTCGGCTGCTACTTTTATAATTTTGGTCAGCTAAGTTAAAAATGGTGGATTTTTTACCTGAGTAGTCATAACACTGGCCAATGAAGCCAAGCCATCAAAAACTCGGAAAACACGGTATAGTTCAACTATTGCAATGGAATCACTTGGCGAAACACAAGGTAATTTAATCCATTCATGGTTTGTATCTTTTGTTTACTTACCACGGGTCCGTCCAACTGAGTTGGAACATTGTTTAACAAGTTGGAGGCCTCAAACGGAGGATGAGATTTCTCAGTGGTTGTAGTTGTGACGGGGGTTGGGAAATCAGCATTGACTGGAATCACCTGGCCCATCTGTCAACAAAATGGTTATTTGAACCAATGTTATGTTTTTCTTAGTACGTAGGCCTACAGTAAAAATATGACAGAAATGTTGCTGCCTAGCATCACCTGTCTTCGAATAAGTGCTGCCACAAATGGCCTTAGAATTAGAAAATGTACAAATTTGTGTTTAGATTACGATACATTGTTGTGTGTGTATCATTTTCTAATGATCATTAGGGCCGCGCCAACAAGTTTTGTAAACTTGGCTAGGCTCTACTGCTGACTAGTGACTATCACTAAATATGTTTGAACAAGATCAGGTAAACATGTCCTCCACAATCAACTCAGTGCCCAAAGTGAGAGTTATGAAATGTATATGTGTGTAAAAGGTGTCACTGATGAAGAAGTCACAGCTTCTAATCCCCCGTGTTGCCAATATCCCGTGTTGTAGATGATGTGGGTTGACCAACGTTGCAATGTTTTGGTGGGTTTGTTGTTGTTGTTGTTGTCAGGAACTTCTGCCTGAACAATTTAAGAGATTTTCACCAGATTGGCACTCTCAGGAATTGATGCTAATAAGTAGAAATTGGCAGTCAATGAGATTTCAGAAACTGAGTGTTTAAGGTCACTTAAGTATTCATTTCTCACAGTGGGAGATTGTAAGACTGAGGATTTTTAGAGAGTCATTGCTAAAGAGTTCCACTATCAATACGTTATGAGTGCACTCACCAACACATACTGCCAACCTCTGTTGACTCTTATCAGTAGAGCTTCTTCTTCTAATATATAAGCGAGGGTCCCAACTGGACTAACGTTTGCTTTCTGAAACAGAATGTTCGCTAAAACCAACTATATCTATGGCTTTCATAACGAGCAGTAGTAAAAGGAATGGATTTTTCCATTTTCCACTAGTGGAATGTGGTTAGGTTAGGTTAGGTTTTTCTAACTCTATAGTAACCTAACTTAACCTAACCAAAGTTTAATTCGCTACTACTTATATTGCTAATAATCCATTGCTCTAAAACCTAGTATAGTGAATTAACAGAAAAGGTCCAAAAGAATTAATAAATAGAATAATATTATGTAGTTAGTTGGATTTTGATAGATAATCCAAATCATGGCCATGCGGTTGTACAGGCCGTCCATAAGCTGACCGTCTGGGATAACGATTTCTTCTACTACAACCAAGAAAGGGTTAGAAAGGGTAAGAGAGTTAGATGCCACTATGTCACTTTGTCAAGTGGTGTTTGTGAAAGGTTATGTCAACAAGCAGCTTGATTTTCAACCCGAACATAGCCTAGCCTAAAACTTCTTGATTGTTGTAGTGTTTCCAGACCAATTATTTGACACATGAAAATGAAAATATTAAATTACCTGAACCTTTTAGTCCAAGTTTATCCAACTGGATCTCCAAGTAGGACAAACTTGGCCACCAGGTGACAAAAGGTAATTTGACCTTTTGACCAGCTAAAAGGGTTGAGTTATCAAGCGACAAGTCAAAAAAGTAAGCCAAATAATTTTAATACTCGGAATACTATTGTCATTGGGGAAAGAGTGAGTATATATTGGACAAACCAAAATCAATGATTTAACTGCAATGGAAGATGATTACAATTTTGCCGTCAATAATTGGGATACGATCGTGGGAGACAATGTTTCCGAGCGAGACCAAGAGATGTTCATGGTTTTACCGTCATCACTAAACACTTAATTTTTACCTTTATTTCATTTTCCTAATTGACATCCACTGGTACAACAATTTCCATTATTTAGTACTACCTAATTAATTACAGTATAGTGCTAGATTACCATATTTGGGAAGCTATATCGTAAGATAGATTATCAAGTTATAAATTGAATATACAGAAATAATAGCTGCTTTTTATTGTTTCATTTTTCATTTTCCCTATAAATACTTACACGTGCCATTTCCTCAAGGTTTTTGAAGGTCACCGATCCAGTGATTGTGCCCAATGTTGGAGACGGATAGGAAGTCGGACCTTGTGTTCCTATACGAAAGAAGAGATCAATTATACAACTAGGCCCTATGCAATCTTTATATGGTTAGCTGACTGTTTTAATTCTGCTTCCGGTATGAGGAAACAGAACAAGATAATACAGTAAAACATCAATTAATTGACTTGAAAGCATCAAGGTGGTTTTGGATATCCTATATTATTGGTTAATCAATAGTTGGCATTTTAAGGCTATTTGCATTAAAAAAGATTGGCAGTGGTCATTTTGTTTACGTTATTTAGATAACTTTGATCTTCAATTCTATAAATCTTAAATAAAAATCTATTTCATAAAATGGTCATTTATGCCTTCTGAATGTCAAATCTAGGTCCTCTGGTGATGACAGCCACATTGAAAGAGTGGGCCGACGTCTAATGGCCGACGTTGTGGATGCGTAGCGGCTATCCATCTTCGAGGCAAACTACTATTCAACTTAAGATGCATAGCTGCTACGCATCCACAACTCTGGCCTCTAATCTCACTCACATTTCAATGAAACGGGCATCACTCTAAGATCTAGATTTGACAATCTGCATACAAGGGTGAAAGATCTAGATTATGTCTTCTAAACTGTCATCTTCTGCTCCATTACTGTTGTCGAGGACAGACCAACTATAGTAATGAAACCCAACCAAAATTAATTTTTTTTTAATTTTCTTATTATTTACACTTTGTTTTTTATTGATTATTTGGAATTTTGTAATTCTTGCTAGTTTTCAGACCCACAACCCAAAGAAACGGGAGTGCACTATCAGGATGAACCCTAAAAACAATTGTAAATGTTAAATATGTTATATGTTATGTAATAATGAGAGCTATTTATAATTTTTACTTTTACGTTTCTCACCGGTGGAATCCCCAAAACTTCTTCCTGATTCTCCTGGTTCTCCTTTTTCTCCTTGAACTGAGACTCCCGGCATCCCCTGAAAAAGTCTTAGTTAGTGTCAGAAATGTACAACAAACACAGCCAATACCTCAAAAGAATTACCTGAACTTCCTAAGTTCAGTTCATGTTCATACACTTTAACTCATTGACATGGAAATAGTTTATTGGTTTATTTATCAATATGTTTTTAATGGATATTTGGTTTCCTGCCCGTTATGGCATGCATTACAACAAGATATTTAACCCCACATTTAATTAAACCAAAATAAAAGCAACAATTGGAGTTGTCCATAATAGTGTAGAAAGAAGCAAAACAGATGATTTGGGCAATATTCATTCAACTCACTAACTCTGTCAACTTCTACCAAAGTTGTGCACTTTTTAAGGTGGGCCATCTTCCTGGTTAAGCCAAGGATAACCAAACCCCGCCGCTTGTTGTTCAAAGAGCGAGGAGGTTTTTAGTGGGCAGTCTTTGGGTGTTGATCCCGTAAGAGTCCCACAAACAGGCTGTTAATACTATCTCGTCTCTCCTTCAAAATAACAAAACAAAAACAACAACCTCTAATTTTTTGCATACTAATCTATAAAAGGATTTCACCTGGGTGAGTTTTAAATTAAAAATTTGATTGGATACAGCTACATGCGATATCCAGTTGAGTACCTACAAGCGCGTAATCAACGTACTGCCAACCTATCAAAAAGAAAATTTATGCTGGATGAATGATCCAGTCATAGAGTGTGATAGTTTGTTGATTTTCTATTTTATTTTTTGTTAATGAGTAGGTTATGATAGAAAAATTCTAAAGCTTACGCTATTAGTTTGACTTCCGGATAAAAATATGTTGTATTCAACATAAATCGGTAATTTACATTAGTGACTCTTTTAGTGGCTCAATTCACCTACATACTTTTATCTAGGGATGGTCAAGTCTCGAAATTTCGGGAAATTTTCGGGAAATTTTAAATCTTGTTACACGAGACAAGATTTCTTTTTGGCCGAGATTTTTATCAAGACAAAAAAAAAAAAAAAAAAATTAAAAACGCCTGCAGAAAGTCAATGCAATACCCGCAATACAGGAGCGTGTTGTAGTTGCGTTTCCTTTGCGAAGGCGTTCTTATTGAATTAATTCTTCAAATGTAAATATTACTTTAATTATTTTAATAACATTTGAGAAGTTTTGTTAAGTGTTAGCAGTGTGAGGAATGATTTATTACTATAAAAAAAGTCAAAACAAGTAACTATTTTATAAAAATTAATATTTTATTTTATGATTTATTTTATTTTAGGATAAGTTGAACTCTATCCTAACTGATATCACTATGTTTCCTAATCGTAGGCATTTTTAATAAGTTAGGCGTGATTAATAAAAAAATGTTATGCTGATGTTTTTTAATAAAAGATTGTAAATATTTTTTCCTATTATCATTATTTTTGTATTTAAACAGTCATCTAACAATGTTACAAAATCAGGTAAAAATTCCGAACGTGCATTTCCCGTTGTGTATGAGAAGGGAAATCCCGTCTCGATCTCGTCTCGAAATTTTATGAGAAATAAAAAATCTCGTCTCGTCTCGTCTCGAACTAAAAATCGAATCTCGTCCATCCCTACTTTTATCCTAAAACTGATGAAATCTCTACAGCTTTAACATGGAGATGGAACATCAATGGACACATATAATGATACTAATCTATTGTGACAGGCAACAAAAACAAAACAAAAAATGAAAATACGGTTAAATACTCACAGGAGGGCCTGGAGGGCCGGGTGGTCCGGGTATGGGTACGTAGTGTGACCCGGGACCCAGTGCTGGACCCGGAGGACCCGGGGGACCAGCTGCTCCGTCTCTCCCAGGCTCTCCTTTGTCTCCCTTCAGCTATAAAAGTGAAAGTGACTTCATGAAGGCACCACCAACAGTTTTGAAATCAATGTTGTCAATGGAAAAATTAAACACTAGTGTTGTACTGTGTGTTTTTAGGGCCTACTAACCCTAGACTTAAACATTTTAAACTTTACCACACAATATTAACATTGCTGCACAAAAAAAATACTTCCACCCTCCGCTGCAGCAAACCTGCAGACTAAGCAAATTTTGATTTGTCTTATTGGATTTTTACTTAAATTTTTCCATTAACAAGACATAGCCTATTTATTTCCTGTTTAAATGACACTAGCTGTTACCCACAGGCTTCACCCCGTTTGACATCACTTCATAATTATTATTAAAACTATTGATTGGTTAAGTTAAGCTGAAATAAACAAAACAGAATATAGTACCGTAATGCAAACAAATAATCATACCTGATTTTAGTAAGGTAATAAATTGAAATAATAATTGAATGTTATACATAACAAGTAGGTCTTGAGAAAAACCCTTGTTACAACAGTTTTATATAAGGTTACCATTTGTAGTACTGTGAGTTAATTATGTAAAGTAATAAGACATTTTCGTAAGAAAAGTTATATTTGAAACACCAAGTAACTATGTTGTTATGTCAAACGTAAACAAACAACAATGTAAACAAAGTATTGAAAACACATTTAAATTGTATCAGCTGATTCAGTACACTACATCGTCCCCCCTTCTTCTAAGAGTTAAGCCAGACGAAGTTGATCTGCGTGGCATCGTCTATTTAGTCCATTTGTATTTACTACATATGAGTAAGGACCATTCACTTTCACAATCGTTCCTTTCTTGAAACCAGCTCCAGATTTGTCTAGTACCCATACATTGTCGCCCTCTTTAAAAACTTTTTCTTTTGATCCAGGTTTTTGTAGCCGCTGTTAAACCAACTCTTCGTCGTTTTTCTGCTCAACGTCAGGAAACAACATGTCTAATTTGGAGCGTAATTCGCGACCAAACATCATAAATGCTGGAGTTTTTCCAGTAGATCTTCTCAGTGACGTTCTGTAAGCAAATAAAAAGCTGTTGAGTTTTTCTTGGAAAGTCCCAGCATTTCCTTTTGAAGCATTCATGCGTTCTTTGAATGTACGAACACATCGTTCCGCTAACCCATTGCTTTTTGGGTGATAGGGGGTGATTCGAGCATGTTTAATGTTTAGGCTCTTACAAAAGGTTTGAAACTCGTAGGATGTTAGCTGTGGTCCATTATCGCTTACAATTACCCTTGGATAGCCAAATCTTGAAAATAACTCTTCTAAAGCTTTGATCGTTGACTTTGTTGAAGTTGACGACATCGGGAATACTTCAAGCCATTTTGACCGAGCATCTACTACAATCAACCACATTTTCCCCATGAAGGGTCCGGCAAAATCGATGTGGATCCGTGACCAAACTTCTCCAGGAACAGGCCATGAGAATAACGGCATTTCAGGATCTTTGCTTCTGTTTTCTTGACATCCATTGCAATGTCTAGTGTGTTCTTCCAAGTCCTTGTCCAGTTTAGGCCACCAGACTTGAAAACGTGCCTTCCCTTTCATAGCTACAATACCTGGATGTCCCTCATGTAGTATTTCCATCACTCTTGATCTAAGTTTCGCAGGTATGACCAATCTCCCAAACCAAAGTAGAATTCCATTCTCAAAGGAAAGTTCTTCACGTTTGCTGTAGTACGGTTGTAGGTTAGTGTCTTCATTATTTTCCAAAGGCCAACAACCCCTTTTTAAATAGTTTACTACTTTTGAAAGTATTGGATCAGTTTTTGTCGCTTCTTGCAAACACTTTGTCGATATTGGTAGATCCTGTGAACGCAAATGGAAAAGGTGTGCTTTGTTACTGCCACCCTGGTCTTCCTCTGTAGATTTTATCGTATTTTGCAAGGGAAATCTTGATAATAGATCGGCTGTTTTGTTATCTTTGCCCTGTTGATAGTTGATCGAGTAGTCATAGGCACTCAGTGTTAATGCCCATCTAGCGATTCGATTTGAAACTACCTTCGGAATTGAATCATGTTCACCGAAGACTTTAACCAATGCTTTATGGTCCGTTCGAACTTCGAAATGTCTACCATAAAGGTACTGTTCAAAACGAGTTACTCCAAAAACCAAACCTAACGCCTCCTTTTCTATCACGCTGTATCGGCACTCAGCATGATCAAGGCGCCTTGACGCAAAAGCTAAAGGTTTTTCAGTCCCATCAGGATACTTTTGGAAAAGAGCAGCTCCAACACCAATATCACTCGCATCAGTTGCGAGGATGAGAGGTAGGGATTCGTCATAGTGAGCCAACGTGTCTGTTGTAGTAAGAAGATGCCTCAATTTTGCTGCTACCTGTTCATGGTTTTCGTTCCAATGCCATTTTACGCCTTTCTTTAGCAGTTTGTGTAATGGAACACACAAGGACTGTAAATGGGGAATAAATTTACTGTAGTAATTGATCGACCCAAGAAATGATCTTAACTCTTTCACATTTTTCGGTGATTGCATGTTTTTCACTGCTTCCAGATGTTCTGTCGTTGGATGTATACCAGCTCTATCAATTCTGTGACCCAAATAGTTAACGGAATCTTGAAACCATTTACATTTTGATGTCTGGACACGAATTCCAGATTCTTGAAAACGTCTTAACACTTCTTTGACACGTTCGATATGTTCCTCTCTCGTTGGGGCTGTGACTATGACGTCGTCAAGGAGACAAGCGACTCCATGTAAGCCTGCCAGTACTTGATCCATCTTGCACTGAAAAACCCCGGTGGCAATTTTGATTCCGAAGGGTAAGCGTTTGTACTTGAAAAATCCTTTGTGAGTAGAAATAATCAGGTACTGTTGTGCCGATGGTTCGACCTCCATCTGCAGATATGCATCTTTGAGATCTATGACGGAGAATTCCTGGCCACCTGTAAGTTTTGAGGTGATCTCTTCGAATGTAGGCATAGGATATTTATCGGGGAGCATATGTTTGTTTATAGTATTTTTGAAATCCGCGCATATGCGGATAGCTCCAGACGGTTTTACCACTATTACTATGGGCGAAGCCCAAATGATAGGTTCATTCCTGGCATCGACTGGTTCTAAAACTCCACTGTCTACTAATCGTTGAATTTCATTTTCCACAGGTTCCCGTAAAGCAAAAGGAACTGGCCGTGGTTTTGAAACTACAGGAGCTGCATTTGAAGCCATGTGAAAAGATACCTTGTGATTTTTAATCGTACCTAAAGAGGGACTGAAAACTTCTGGAAAACCGTTAACAATGTCATTAACAATCTGTTCACTTACTTGTTCTGTTTGCTGTTTGGACAATGTACATATTTGAGCCCCAGGTGGCAGTGGTAAGTTAAAATCAAGAACCCAGTCTAGGCCGAACAAAGGTATATCGTTTTTCTTAACAACAATTACCGGTAACTTACGTTTGGAACCAAAAGCTTCAACTGAAACATACGTTTTACCCATAGTTTCAATTAGAACTCCTGTGTATGCATTAAGATTTTCTGTGGGAAATAGTTTAGGAGCTCCTAGATCTCGCCATATGTTTCTGCTAATGATACTGAACGCTGCACCTGGGTCATACAACATTGAAATTGTATGATTGTTTAACTTGACTGAAAGCATTACTTTCGACCCTTTATTAATCGCTTGGATTTGATCTGTATCAGAAAAAGATTTAACACTAGAGTTACAAGACGAGTTTTTTGCCTCTAACATGTTAAGTCGCTTACCTTTGATAATGACTGCATTACCCACTTTAAGACAAGTGCGTGCAAAATGATTCAGTCCTCCACAGGCGTTGCAAGTGGCATCGACAGCGGGACAGCTCGTTCCTTGTGTATGTTTCTTGTAACCACACCGAATGCAGTCAGTTCTCTTGTTAAGATGTAAGATGTTTTGTTTCGAAGTGTTTCCTTTTGTTTCTTGTTTCAACGGTATCGTTTCGAAAGCATTCTTCTTGTTCCTGTTGCTTATTCTGTTGACTGAACGTGTATTACGGAATTGTGATTGTTGATTGTCAACATTTTCCAATAAAGTAGCGGTGTTTGTGACTTGTTCAAATGTAGTATCTGTCGTAGCATGTAAGCGCAAAAGTTCAAGTTGCCAGCGATCATTGTTGATGTCCAGAACAAACTGATCTCTCAGCCGTTCGTCTAAGTTGTCACTAAAGTCACAGAGACCTGCAATTTCGCGCAAAGCAAATTCGAAATGACTAACAGATTCACCTTCTTGTCTGAAACGGCGACTAAAGATAACCCGCTGTGATAGTGGTGCGGATTTTTGTGTGTAGTATTTCTTAAGTATATCAATAACTCCTGTAAAGTGAAGATTACTGACGGGATCAGGTCGTGCGTGGTCAAATACTAGCTTGAAGGGTTGAGGTCCAAGGTTCCCTAGCAACAAGTCTCGTTTTGTATCCTCATTCTTGATTCCTCTGTTTCGTAATGCAATCTTGAAACGTTCGAGCCAGTAAGTCCATTCTTCAGAATGACCATCAAAAGCATCTATACGTAAATCGTCGGTCCGTTTAGTAGACTGCGCCATTTGTAGTACTGTGAGTTAATTATGTAAAGTAATAAGACATTTTCGTAAGAAAAGTTATATTTGAAACACCAAGTAACTATGTTGTTATGTCAAACGTAAACAAACAACAATGTAAACAAAGTATTGAAAACACATTTAAATTGTATCAGCTGATTCAGTACACTACACCATTCAAATTGTTACAATTGTAAAAATGTAAATAATTTTACTTAAATACAACAGAACAAAAAAAACCAAATTCTAATGAAAAGTTAACTTACTTTTTAATTCTATTGTTCTAAAAAAGTAAAGTTTTCTTTGGTGTTTCTTTTTCTTCGCTTTCACTGCCAAGATAACTCCTATACTTAAAATACTTTTCTCTGCAATAATCATCTATATCATCAGGAATATTCTCTGATTCTGAATCTACACTCAATTCAGAGGAAAATGGATCAGTTTTAGGTACTGTTTTGCTTCTTTTCTTTTTGTTGTATGATTTAGTACGCCCCGAACAGTTTTTTGAAAAGTGACCACTACCCCCACATTTATAGCAAACTCTGCTTTCTTCTGTTTTCTCAGTTCTACATTGTCTATAAGAATGACCTGCTTTGTTGCAATTGTAACAACGATCCTCTTCAAAAATTTCATAGGCCAACTCCTCTTCTGGAATCATTATAAGCTTGGTGTTTTAAACAAAAATATTTTTTACAACTTGTTGTTTTATTTATGTTTGGTATTGACATATGTAGAGTAAACTCAAAGGGGTACAAACACAAGGAATTGTATGAAAATAAATTGGTCACCTTGAGGAATAAATTAAACACATTTAAATGTCAATCAAAGTAAAAACAAAAAAAAAAAACTAATGTGGTACGGTACTGTAATTAAGCGGATTCTTATCATAACTGTTAAATTTATAAATATTTAGTTAGGAAATCCATCATTACTAATCTAAATTATAAAGATATCTTATCATTTGAAAACTACTTAATGATAAGTAAGCTTGTATTTTTTGGCAGTGATATAAGTCTATGTATTGGATGATAAGTCGTTGTACAATTTTATCCATGTAAAAAATATGACACATAAATTAACGCTGTTAACACATTTACTGCGTGCGACGAGTATACTCGTCAAAGTGCCATTTACAAACTTAACTATTGTTCAATTGTGAGTTTAGTCACTGCCTTTTTATGGTGTACAGTAGACTCCCTCTTATCCGGACACCTTTTAACCGGACTACACTCAACGGAAATGACATTTCTTTAACCGGACAATTTTTATCAGCACATTGGTTTAACCGGACTAGATCTGCCTGACACTGACATAACATAAATATTTTTTTGATAGTCTTAAACTTGAATAGGGGCAGATTTTTTTTATAAACAACTAACTTTAAAATAAATTAAACCCCTAACACCAACATAAACATGAATATTAGATTAATTAGAAAATTGAGTAGTCAATATTTCTTTGTGTTATGGAATATTGATATGAAACTGAATTGTACCTATGTCGTTTGAAATATAGTATTTAAGATGCCTTTTGAGGTTCAGAATACAGTTTACTTGTTTTACAGTAGAGTCCCGCAAACTCAGCGTAATCTGGACTGAAAGAGTTCCGAATTTGTGAAATGTCGGGTTATCGAGAACTAGGGTTAAAAATAAGAACAATACAATTTTTAAGCTTTTTAACTGCCTTTTTTATTTAAATATTAAAAGTCAGTATTAAGTCATCAGATATAGTAAAACAACTCCTTGGTATGAGTTGCAAATTATTTAACTTGAGCTGGCTGGAGTCCATGTTTAACTCCGAAAAAAAAATCACTAATTTTCTGAGCCAGGTGATGGCCGAGTCATCCAGACTGCCGGGTTAACGAGTGTCGAGTTTGCAGGACTCTACTGTATTACTGTTGATGGTGATATGTCTGCAGTATTGCTACGAGCTTGTGTGGAAACAGCGTTACTAACAATAATAATGACAAAAAATGTCACCAGTTTCAAAAAAAAAAACTGCCAAAATCTTCAATTCCCAAACTTTTGTAACTCGAAACTCGGTGATAGAATCTCGAAACCGAAACTTTTCCAAAGTGTTGATGGTTTTGAGATTTCAGATTCGGTTCTGACACAACACTACTGGATACTATTTAAGTTTATGATAAGGGTAAATTTTATCAGTCATAAATTAAACTACTACTTACAGTCACCGAGTTTCCATAGACATCAAGCAGTTGTCCAGGTTCTCCCTTCTCTCCCTTACATCCGGGATGAATCTCTCCAGGCACTCCAGGTCTTCCGGGAAGTCCCTGTGATAGATTCAATAAAATACAGTAAACAATAGTTCAATAACTAATTTCAGTTAGGCCTATTGATAAGTTAGAAACTGGAAAAACAGACAAACAATGGTTAACAGATGATTAGCAATAGGCTTTGTTCAACACACCTCTATTGCAGGGCATTGAGGTTCATGACACCCGCCAGTGGCAAACGGCTCAACACGGCTCTATTGCATAGTGCTGGGGCTCAACTTGCCAACCAGTAGCACACGGCTCAACACAGCTCTATTGCAGGGTACTGGGGCTCAACTTGACAACCAGCGGCACCGGGCTCATAACGCTCAGGTGGTGCCCACAAGCGGGGTGAGACGCAAAGGCCCAACTGGAGTCTCTCGAGGGTGCGCGTTAAGTAGCAGTGCAGGCTGCTTTGAGGGTGGAGCGAAGTACCCAATACCAGCCCTCGAAGACTAAATGTTTCGAAGAAGTGAAAACCGGCCAAGATGAAGTAAATAGGTAACTTGACCTTTGTCTCAGATTTGATTTCGCACGCTTGGCTGCGACGAGAGTTTTATGGAAATCTAAACTAACGGTCAACCCTCGTTTCATAAAGTTGGGTCCGCACCATCTCTGATTGAACAAATCCAACAAAATGATTATTAAAACAGTAAGAATGAATTTTTGTTACCACTTCATGGAAATGATTACATTTAGCTGTAAACTTAACCAAAAATTGCTCATTTACTAAGTGTCATTCGGTCAATTCAGTTCCACTTGTGTTTGCAAAAAGTACTAACATCCGGTAACTTAATGCATTTGGCGAATGATTGGTTGAAAAAAAACACAGCCTGAATGAAAGTTTATGGTGGTGTATTTCATCGTAAAACCGTGTCATCACTAATAGGCTCAGTGGCAACAATGTAGAAACAACACGGTTGATGCCAAAAAGTACCATCAAGACCTCTCATGAAACCAACTGCAAAAGCCTATGTAAAAAGGTAAACTTTATATAGGTACAACTAAAAGATTTATCTGTGTGTTATGATAAGTTAATTATGGTGGTTAAAAAATGTTGTGTATATTACAAGAACAAACAGTCATTGCTGCTCTCGAAATGTAGGCCTATGACTATCTACAGTTATCGATTGACTTGGCGCTTTTAATACACAAATAGTTATTATAATTCTAGCTCAAATTCTGTTAAGTAATTGATTAGCAAGTAATAGGTTTACAGAAAAATGTTTTACTTACCTCACAATCCTAAAAAGGATGCAGAAAAAAAATTCAAGTCAATAAGGGTACCCTATAGAAAGGCTAAGAAAAGTAGCTTAACAATGACACAGAGAAGTAAGATACAGACGATGCGTTCAATTGTCCACCATAGTGGTGTCTAGCATGAGTTACTGGTGTCTAGAGCAAATTATATTCAACAATGCTATGTGGCCATCCCTGTTCAGGCTCTTCATTGTTTGTTACAAGTACACTTCCACCCCAACATAGGCCTACCAGAGCTAAAAGCCTACGATTGTCCCATAATCTTGTATCTTCAGTATCTTTCTTCTCTGTGATTACGAAAGATAACTGCGGCTAGAGCATAGCACTGGTAATAGGGATGAGCATCGATAGTTGATGTTTTTTTCTACCAATGTTCGATGGCAGGACATTGATGTTTTAGGCTAACTATGGAAAATATCAACATTTCTGTAGGATAACAAATTTGTTATTTAATGAAAATTTGAATTTTGGTCTTAGAAAGTAAATTTTTCTTCAGTCTATTGAAATGGTGATGAAATATTGAATCTAAAAATATTGCGAACAGGACTAGACTTAGTCAATAGAAGAGTGAGATAAAATATCTACATTTACATTTTAAAGGGTCTTGTTCTTAATGTCGTCAGAAATCATTTATGTAATAAATTTCAGCAGCAGTTTAGCATAGGCAATACCAGTAATTCGTTTTGCAAATGTGAAAGAGAAACTACCAATCTAAATGTCTATCTAATACCTAGGTTAGGTTTGAATAGAAAGGGCTTATTGCCTGAGAAGTCACATTCATGTGACTCAATGTTGAGAAAGGGGCCAGTGGCCTCGAAATATTCAATGTTTCTTTTGTGTTTTCTTCTGTGTTACTGAGGAGAAGTGGGATGCCTACATTTCTAAAGGTAAGCCTGCTTATTCTATCCTTTGTCTCCTTAATACCTAGGTTAATTATTCTAGCTGAGGCAAAGAGCAGAGGAAAAACTGTAAATGAAAAAACCATCGATTATCAATGTGTTTCCCGACGATGTTATTGGTACATTGCTGGGTAATAGGCCTACCGATGTTACTATCGATAAATTCAATTCAATTATCAATTATTTAAGATGGGGACACCACTATGTGCGTATTTTAACCCAAATATGAGTGTAGAATGATTGGTGCAATCTTATAATCTTGTTAGTGACCAAGGTCAACAGGTTCCTTAGAAACAGCTGTTAATTAACCTTCCATCGGGCGCATAACAGAAGTTACCTCCGGGTCACCATATTTTTCGTTATAAAAACCATAGTTTGCGTTCGGCAGGTCTATCGCCTGACGTACCTCACGCACCTCTTTTGGGGAATCGGTTTCGGCTACTCTTACCCCTTTCCCAGTTCTCAGTTGACGTTGGGGAGTGTTTGCTTCACTACTGGATGTAGCTTCCATGAGCGACCTGTGATGTAACGGGTTGTTCGGGGACTTTTTTCTCGGGAAAAAGAGCTTTGACAAAATGAGTAGTCCTTCTACTTCTAACAAATGATTTTTTTCATAAGACCATAGGTGTTTTTATGTCATACACCATTGCAATTTTTTTCTAACTTACACGATAGTAGGCCTACTGTATATGTACAAAAATTAAGTCTTTTTTATCCATAAAACTTATTTAACGTACTTTTATTATTTATTATAACATTTTCTATTTTATATATAAAACTTAAGTAATAGGCCTAGTGTAATAACTCATAAAAATGTTTTTCTTACAGTTTTGTTTATATCAAAATGTTTTTTACTCATCATTATATAATTCTTGTATACTCCCGGAGGTAACTTCCGTGAGCAACCTCTGGTGTTTGAAAATCAATGCGCCCGACAGTCCCCATACAGCAGGCTCATACAGTTTATGGCAACTAAGGGAGCTACAATGTATAGTGGAATCCGAACCACATTTTTCCTTGTAATTAACGAATTGGTCTAATTATCAGGATAGTACTGCCGATAGTCGTAGTAAAATACTCACTAGTGCGGACGTTAATTCAACACCAGGGATCATCGCATTCACAGTGCATGCCTATAAATATCCACAATTTGTGACCTTCGAGTTTAACAGGACAACGCCACTGTTCCAGTCGGTTTTCCTATCGATGCTCATCCCAATTGAATGGTGATTTTAGTCTCTTCTCAGAAGATTTAGTTTAACATACTAATGTTCTTACCATAAATCCAGGAAGTCCCATCTCGCCCTTAGGTCCCGGTTTTCCAGGGGCTCCCGCCAGTCCTGGGGGTCCAGGCCGGCCTCTTCTTCCTCGTTTGCCCGGGTCCCCCTTGTCTCCCTTGATGGGAGCAAATGTTCCTTGTGCCAACAGACCTGGAGGGCCTCTCTCTCCGGGTTCCCCTTTCAGACCAGGAGGTCCTGAGGGTCCGGGACTTCCTTCCTCTCCCATATCTCCCTTCTCCCCTGCTACTCCCTGGAACAAGCAGTTGAGAAACTTAGTCAGTAAAGAGAGTATTGCTTAAACATGATGTTTATAGAGCCTTGATAGTTTAAGTAGTTCAACATGGGCAGAGATAACGTGGCATGTCGGCAGCTGACAACAATGGGTTTCCGAGGTCAGTAAATAGAACCTTCTTATTGTTTTCATGCATGTTAACATAAATTACTTAAATCATCCCATTAATTTAAATGTTTTTCTAACATCCAAAGTCAAAGTGGAAAACAGTTGAAGTTGAATATTACAACAGTAAGAAGCCAAATAACTTAATGCACAGTAGAGATGTAAGTTGATGAGTTTATTTATTTTTGACAAGTTTCAAACTATTCGTCAAATTTATTGGTTTTATTTCATATTTTAAATACGCCCTGTATATAAAGGTTCTTAATATTTATTTCCTTATAAGTTAGTTCAATATGTCGATAGGCCTAGTTTGACTCTCTCTTACTCCTAGGCTAGGCTAAGTTAAGTTTATATACACTTTTTTATTTTTATAATCACAATTGTATCTTAGCCTACAGTCCTTTATTGGCTTTATAGAACATTCAGCAAATACGACACTAGTTAATAAAACGTAAGTTAGTTTCTATCAAGTAAATTTCAACCGAATAATAATATAGGCCTAGGCATGGATTAATTTTACACTGTAGGCCTGATTTCAACCCTTTAAGTCAAATATTCTATTTCTTATTATACATACCCATTGTTTGTGACGATGAAAGAATCAACACACTTTTCAGTTGGTTTGTTAGAGCAATGTGTCAGTTTAAAGCTAGAAATGTTCCCTCATTCTGTCTGACAATAGTCAAATTTCTAAAATAACAATGAATGGAACTTAAAGTAAAACAGAAAAATTGCTTTTTCCACTACTGTATTCCATTCTTACTAATTCACATCGCAACACAATTAATTTAGCCTGCCTAATTAAATATCAATGTTAGTTAATGTGTGTTGTTTGTTTATTCTACAATCATCTACATTCTACATGATAGTTTTTTTTTTACAACAAGCTGCGGTAGCAGACGACACCCGACTCATGGTGAGACAAAGAATTAAAATCGCGACTAGAATCGTTCAGGCATTGATTATAGCCTATCTCATATCTAGACACTACTGTAGTTGGAACCAGTATACTAATATTCTGGTACTATAATAAAAATAATACCAATCATTGTATCTCATTGACAACAAAGAAAAGTAATTCAAGAAACGCCAGTATTCTGTTATAAAGCAAATCCATACTGGGACTGTGATAAACAAATAAACACACAATTATGAAAGTTAAACTATAAACAAACAATAACCATAAAAAAGAACTGCATGAATGTTATAACATTTAAATTAGCCCATATTTATCATAAAATTATATATTAATAAGTTAAGTATTTTAAATATTTCAGTTGGGGATATATTTAAAGTGTTTATTTAGTTTAACCAACCTGAGAACCTGGTGTTCCAGGAATGCCTGAGGGTCCCACGGGTCCTTGGTCTCCCTTGTCACCTTTGGCTCCCTTGTCACCTTTGGCTCCCTTTTCTCCCTTGTCCCCCTTAGTTCCTGAGTCTCCCTTCTGACCAGCACCTGTCAGAAGAGACCATGCAGGGATAATGTATCATCTCAACAAGTGAATGGAATACACCTAAAACCAAGTACCCATTTGTTGAATGCCTCAGTATCCAGAGTATATGGCTTGTTCCAAAGATATACCTTCTGTCTAACGTAAAACCTCGCCCACCATCTTGATATATTAGAGTCTAGAATAGTTGATTAAGGATTACTTTCGATATGGCTATACTACTAACAAGATACGAGACAGGTTTTAGACGCAGGCTTTTGTACCTTGCTCAGGTTGTGCTCTCTCCATAATATCTGCAAACTTGCCTCTTGTCTGTCGCCTCTCGTGTACAAACAAGGATATACTATATCAGTTTTATTTCTATTAAATTTAAAAAGTGTAATAATTATTTTCAATTGTTAAAAAAATTCAAAAGGATCAACAATTTTTATTTTGTATAAAATGTTTGATACTTTTTAATTTTTTTTTTAATTATTTACTTTTCCACTTATCTAATCTTACCGTGGCTAGTTTAGGTGACATACACGAGGATCTTTTATATCAGTTTTATTTCTATTAATTATTGGACAAAGTGTGGAAAGACATAATTTTCAATAAATAAACAACCATACCCATAGCAGTTGTCGCCACTTTTCCATCTCCAGGCTGTATTATACCAGGAGGGCCTGGGGGTCCAGCAGGACCTAAGTCACCTGCAACATTTCCATTAATTTATATATTTTTCAGGTTTCTTACAATTTTTACTTTCTCCCCCAATACAAAGCAAATGTAAAAGTATGTGGATACGTTTATTCATGGTATCACTAGTGGTTTCTTTTTCAACTTATTGAAATGTATTTTTAATTATGATTAAAATTTGTCGTTACATAACCATAAAAAATAGTAAAAATTTCACAAAAACTGTTACAACGATTTTAATAAAGATATGGCATGTTTATAGCTCTTTTAATTCCCAACATAACAGTACAACCCTTATTGCTGTAGGAATTACTGGTAAAAAGTTATTGTAATTTATGTGATTTTCCCATCAAAAACACACATAAAATAACAAATGAATCAGATAAAAAAAACCCTCAGACCGATTTAAATTAAAAATTAGTATCTTAAGGTACATATGATTTTAAATGAAATGGTACAGCACCAATTGATGTACAAATTACTGTTTAAAAGTTATTGTAACTTTAGTATAGTAATCTTCCCCATAAAATATCAATGTTATCCCACCATCCAAAGGTTGTTGACAAGTTATGGTAGAAAGAATGTGTCAGATTGCTGATACAGTTATGATACAGATTATGTTCAGTTTAATATTCTATTTAATATATTTCTTTGTTGACTTTGGTTAGAAATAAAAAATACACAATGATTTATTGATTCTTAAATATATGCTGTGACTGTTGATTGTTTAATAAGTCAGTAATGACTAAAATATTTTTTACAATTAAAATGTTTCTGTATACGAGTATATCCATAAACCAAAAGAATTTCCATTTAGATTGCAGTATCCTACAAGAAGTAGAGTATTAGTTAGTCCATCTGCATTGTAAATGGAGGAACCGACAAGTGAATTAATAGTTTGGGAGACAAGTCCAATCGCAAGAACAGCTGTGTCTAGAGGGATGAACCTCCCTAGTAGGGGGTAGACACAACATATAGAGCTTCTATATACATAAACATACAATTACACACAGAAAAAATAGCAATTTGACTTGTACAGTATGTAAAAACAACAATGCCTGTGATTAATCCTTTTTAAGGGAAAATTGTAAGTACTGTATACTCTAAGAGCAAGCGTTGCTCAACCCATGCAAAATTATAGATACACTGTTTGTAGTCTACAGAAAGTCATATTTACATCATAATATTTGCATCACAATTTATTGTGATGCATATTTGGATAATATTATTATAGATAACAGATGTAAATTTGAAGGTAAAAGAGCACTGCATTTTATAAAAAATAATGCAGTCGCTAAATAATTAATTTATATTTGACCTGTATGGTAGATCATAATTACATAATAAGATTTGCATCACAATTGTGATGCATATTTGGATAATATTATTATAGATAACAGATGTAAATTTGAAGTTAAAAGAGCACTGCATTTTATGAAAACATAATGTAGACGCTAAATAATTAATTTATATTTGACCTGCGTGGTAGATACAGTATTATTATAATTTAAATTAAATCAAATTTCGGTAATATTCAAAATTTCAAATAATGTTGTTATATTGAAGTCAAATGGTGGTAGTTCAATGTCTAAATCATCGCCTTCCCCTAACCTCTTTCACATGTTATTTAGTTATGGTTATTTTGTTTTCATTACCATGGTTACTTACGACAAATAGGCTACCTACCTAGTTTCAAATATCAAATATAACCAAATTTAATTTGCCTATTTTAAAAATGAGTGAATAACTTTTTTTTTTGGAAGCGGGTCTAATGTGCAAATTTGTCAATCGGTAGTCAGTTGCAAATAGTTTTACTCAGGTAATACAACAATGATGTAATGTATTTGTTCAATGATATACATAACAATTTTCTTTAGTATAACAAAGGTATAACTAAACTATAGAAACAGCTGGTCTTAGTAATGACGATACTAGGCTGCAAAACCCATTGCACATCAATCTCCCTATCTTCTTTGAGTAAAAATTAATAATTTGTTTTTATTTTTCAGTGACTTACCTTTCTCTCCTTTCCCTCCAGGTCTCCCGTTTTCCCCTGACACTCCTGGAAGTCCATCTTTCCCATTTTTCCCAGGTTCTCCCTTCTGCCCTCTAGTGCCTTGGGACCCTGCATGTCCCTGAAACAAGTGTTGATGATTATTTATTGTTAAAAAGAATATAAAAAAGGTCTATGTATGGTTAAATAAAATCCAAAGCTTCAATTTTAAACTCCAAGCTATTTTCCAAGTATATATAATAACATGATGGTATACATGAAATTATTCCATTAACAAAGCCATACTATCAAAACAATGGAACATCTCAATTCAGCCTAATGCCTCTTGATAAGGTGAGTTTAGGCTGGAGGGTTTGTTATCAAACACAACAGATCCAGTTGCAGTGTTTTCCTTATGTTTGATTATCACTTAATCTGTGAGAATATACCACTTAACAATGTTTAAGAGAATAGATATGAAAATATATGGGAATTTCCCAAATTTCCCCTCGAACTGTACATTTTTCAATCATGATAATATACCATGGGGGCCTTATAGTTAAATTGCGATAAATTGTTGGCCCATTTCAGCTGATCAAAACAACAGTTACAACATCAGTACCCAAGTCTGAAGTCACTTATCTCAATATAGGTTTAAAAATATAAATACAGGGTGTCCCGGAACTATCTACCAATATTTTAGGGCATTGCTCCTGGGTAAGAAACATACCTAAATAACATATGTAAATTGTCCGGAAGTCCTTAGTTACACACACAGCCGTTATTTTGTTTTTTTTAGTTTTAAATTTTTTTTCTAAATAATGGTTAAACAAACAAAATGGAAACTTTTCACAAACATTTATGACAACTAGACAAAGCTATAAAAAAATATGACGATTTTTTTAATTCATAAAACAAAATGGCGGTCATTAAACATTTTGTTTGTTAAATAACTCGAAAACCATTGATTTTACAAACATTTTACAAGAATAACTTCTTTAAAGCAATTTTAATACAATTGATTTAAAACCATATTTTTTTAAGATTGGACGAGTATTAACTGAGAAATGGCAATTTTAGTGATACATGACTGCTTTCAGCATGTGCTGCAACTAACCTCCAGCGGTCTCGTATCACTAAAATTGCCATATCTCAGTTAATACTAGTTCAATCTTAAAACATAAGGTGTCAATCGATTTGTATTAAAATTGCCTTAAAGAAGTTTTCCATGATAAAGAAGTTTACACAGCTACATGTTATATTTTATCTTATTTGTTGCATTTTTTTTATTGACTGACGTTTGCTATACAATGTACAATTGTCAAAAAGCAATAAAGAGATTATTATTATTATTATTATTATGTCCAACTTTTGTAAAATCAACGGTTTTCGAGTTATTTAAGAAACAAAATATTAAATGGCCGCCATTTCGTTTTATGAATTTGAAAAATCTTCATAATTGTTAATAGTTTTGTCTAGTTGTCATTAATGTTTGTGCAAAGTTTCCATTTCGTAAGTTTAACCATTCTTTAGAAAACAATTAAAAACTGAAAAAAACTAAATGGTGGACAATTTAAATATAATATTTAGGTATGGTTCTTATCCAGGAGCAGTGCCCTAAAATATTGGCAGAGAGTTCCGGGACACCCTGTATAGACTAGAATTCAATGGTGTTTCGTCAACATCTTTATCAGCTTGTATTTTGTAAAGTGATTTTTTGTATATGCTGCCAAAGAAAATTTCTAAAATAAGTATTCAACGATACATACAGTACTTCGACGTTAGGGAGCTTACCACTAAAAGTATGAATATTGTCTTATACTTAAAAAACAAATATAGTGATTTTAAAGACGTAAAAACATCTTCCTAGAAAATCTAATTTTTAACAACTGCAGCTTTATAAAAAAGTTTGTTTATTTTGAACTTAAAATATAGACGTATGAATATGGCTATATTTAATAGGTTTTATTTCCTGTAGACAGAACTGAATAAATTATTTAGTTTGTCCAAATTAATTTCAATACTCAGAAAGAAGCATGAAAGGCTTAGCATGTATGCCTACTTAGTAAGGAATGATTATTATTCTTACCTTGTCACCTTTGTTGCCCTTGGCTCCTGCAGGTCCCCGGTCCCCTTTGCTTCCTGGGAGTCCCCTCTCCCCAGGGACACCTGGGACTCCATCTATCCCTGGTTCTCCCTTAGGTCCAGGACTGCCTGGTCTGCCTGAGTCTAGGCCGGCTCCTGTGATCACCTCCTGTTTATAAATCAGAAAGGTTTTTAAAAATACTTACCGACAAAGCACATTGAAAAAGTGATTAACTAATATATTTTTATGTATATTTTAATTTATAATAATTGTAGTTGATTGAATTAGAATAAAGAAAGAAGAAAAATCTTGCAAAATGGTTTTGAATTAGTAAAAACCATGCCTATGTCTCGATTGAACATCGAGGCACTTTTAAGTCTGAAAAAAAAAAAAATACAATAAACAGGAAAAGCGAAATATATAGTGGGACATGTTAATTTTAAAATATTACATTGGATAATGCAAGTAAAATTATCCATCAGTTGTGATTAATATTTGCACCGTTAATATGTTAATAAGCAATGATGTTGACCATATAGATGTTTTTACTTTCTACCCCTATCTTTACATAATATGGAGAAATTATTGTTTTTGTCAACATTTTCTAGTTTGAATTTTGATTGGATACATATTCTGTTCAATACAGTTTATTATTTATCCAATACAGTACTTGTAACACTACTTGTCAAAAGTTAAAAATAAGTATTTAAAGTGCAGTATAATTAAACACAATTGTATATCTTCTATCAATCAGTAGGCCTATATTCTTGCAACGGGATCAATAATAACAAGTCAAAACAATTTGTAAAAAAAAAATAAAACTATCACAACACTTTTTGGTTAACTGATTAGTTAAGTGAAAAAAATGATCCAAGTAAACACTTTACAATCACTTCATGACAAGATCAGATGTGTAATTTGTCCAAAGTAAATTAGGTTTTACCCCAAAACCAAACATAAATGTTTACCATTACACTGAAACCTGACTAAAACACAAACAGGCAATATGACACTTTGAACACACAAAACCTGGCTGTTTACGAACTATAACACAAGTAAAAGTGAATTATTTGCCTCGAGAAACTTTGATAAATTGGAGTTTGTTATGTTTACTCTTAAAACTCACCTTAAACAAGGAGCGTGGCTTCCAACTCGGCTGCATGAGGGAAAGTTTATGTTTTAATGTTGTTTATTGTCCAACTTACAGTAATGTTAGTCAAGATAATAGAGAATTATGTGCCCCTACGCTCATACAAATTCCCTTTTGATAGTAATGTGAGAGTTGCAATTCAAATGGTTGTGGTAATTTTATTTCTATTTAAATTTGAAAGTAAACAAGTGGGCATAGTTTGAAACAGGTGTATAAAAAAAAGTGTTTTGTATGCACATGTTATACAGCCATATTCTAAATATTAATTGATTTTGTATTGTTAAACATGCGGTATATACAATTAAAATCCCTAATAGAGAGCAGCACACTCTTTGAGTACCTGAATTCACCTACTTTAATTTTATCGAGAACTTTGTTAAATATTTGAAGAGGAATGGGATGTCTTTATTGTCAAAGATATAATGTAGAGGGGAAAAAATGGAACCTACAAACCTGAGTAATTTCAATAGTGTTTCATGCTATAAGAATTTCGTTTTCTTTCTGATTAAAATATTTGATAATTTATGGATTATTTTAATCCTCTGTCAACATCTGGACAAAGGCCTGTTCAATCAATATGCTGATAATTTGAATCAAAACACTCCCTTAATCCATTATTTCGAAGAATATTGTAGTCCATATAAGCTTTAGTTTATTCAATATCTTTCCTTATCCAAACAAAAGCTTTTAAGAGCTCTTAAAATATCCTGCAGGGATTGTTGCTTTTATCAATAAGTGACTTCATCCAATAATTCCTCATAAATATTGCTTTTAAAGAAGTTGTCTGTTTAAATATTAATGAGACAAAATTAATTCTCTCAGGAGGATATTTACTGCTCATATTTTTCTATCTTGGTACCTATAAAACTTTACTGAAAATAACAAAAAATCTAGTAACTTTATCCATTATATATTTAATTTATTTGTAAAACAATTTTCAGAGTATCCGTTATAAAATTAATGTATAATTAAGGTAACGTTACTATAATAACTATAAGATAGACTTAAAATATATTAAGACTTTGTTTTGTTCCCAATTTATAAATTACATAAAGAAAATCTGTAAAATACTTTACTATTTGTAAAGTGTTTTGATTCTATGGCCCAAATTTTGATCAATGGTCCTTATTCCCTTGTACTGTATTTATGTTGTATATTGGCTTAGTTATTAACATATGCTATAATTCTTTGTTTATATTTTTATTTTTTATTTTGTGACCAACATGGCAAACAAAGAGCCTAATGTAAACATGTTTAAATGTTAAGCTAATTTTTAACTGTATATATATTATCAAATTGAAATCTGTTTCTTTACAAACTTTCTCGTTAGTTGTCAAAACAACCTTGGTAAGTTTGGCTGGATCTGCTCAGCTGTAATTGCATGATGATAAAAGAAAGTTGGCATTGTGCATTTAAATTGACCCCAAAGAGCTTCGCTTCGTCATACTCAATGAAAACTGAGAGAACCAGCTTTGCTTTCATTTGATTCCACCAGCAAAGGGCTATCATTGATTATTGTGTTTCATATACACTCACGTCCATATTGTAGGCTCCCTCTGCTCTGCCAGGAGGTCCTGGAGGACCTGGGCTGCCAGAAGTTCCTGGAAGTCCTTGTAGGCCTTGGTCTCCTGTAATGTGTACCACACAGTCAATACGTACACAATACATAAAAGAATTAAAGGAAAACTTTAAATTTGGGAAAATTAACACAAAAAATCTCTTTCCTTGATTGTTTTAGGTGGGTTCTTGAACTAATTTAAATGTCTTGCTTATGAAGCAAAACTAAAAAAAACTGTCAATGCTTAATTTCATTAAAAATATATCCAAGATGCGTCTCTTGACTAAATTGGTGTGTAATATAATGTTCATGGTTATTTAAAAACATTTAGAGTTCTCCGAGGTTGGTACAATTTATTAAAATGGCCGTCATTTTGTACTACTGTGCTGGCAACAATGGTGGCACCATGAATGCTACATTGTCAATGACGAATATAATTATGGACAATCTAATTCTGATATGAAATATTTGTAGAAAACACTAGATAAATAAAAGAGCAGCCTTTGAAATGATAAAATATTTACAAGAAATGTTGATTATATGGAACTGGTATGGGCGTTGTGAGTACAGTAAGGTTGAAATTGAGAACTCGGGTTTTAATGTTTTTTCTTCTATTATGAAAACCTTTGAGGTGCCCCTTGATGGGGCTTTAGATTTTAATTTTTTAGGCTTCCTCAAAATATCCTATTTCGAGGTTCCAGGGGAAATGTCAATCCAACCAAGATTTGCACTTTTACGCTATTTAAAGGTGAGCATAGTTTAGTTTTCGTAGGGTAATCCATTTAAAAGTTAATTGGGGGTTACATGCAATCTTTTGCCTACTCCTTTAAATCTTTTATTGTTTTGTGATATGTATTATATAAAAATTAGAATGTATTTTTAGGCCTGAATAAGTTATTTACTAGATAATTATACATTATAGTTACTATGTGAGCTCCTATTGGTTACTATCAGAGGTTTGTTTTACATGAGTCCATCAAACAACATTCAAGATTTCATGCTAAATGTTTAAGTTTATGAGCATCATATGGATTTGGTAATGATTTCCGTAAGGTTAAAGCACATATTCACTATGTTAAGACCATTTTCTTGTAGTTACTTCCTATGAAAAGATATAAAAATCCTTCAGCACGTACAAACTCACAGTTAATTAAAACTACTGACCCACTGAACCATCACAAATTCGTTATCTCAAATGAAAGTTTTAATTGATTTGCTGGCAATTACAATTGGGCTTAATTGCATGAATTTTAATTCTAAATGATTTGGATTCAACGTCTTTGATTTCTTTTTTTTATTGAGCTCTGAGAAATAAAAGTTAAGGGCTAAATCGTTCACTACAAAACTAACTATATAGTTTAACTAGGATGGACGAAGTTCCGTTTGCTAGACAGTTGACGGAAATTTGTCTTTCGCTAGGATTATTATTACACTCATGTAAAGCATAGACAATTATATTTCTTAGGATTGTAATTTATTACTAATTAATTTCAAGGTGTTTAGGCTCAACTCTGTAAATACAAGGGGCGACAAAAGGAAATTTTTAAAAGCAATTTATAGAATTACAGTAATGTAATTTCCTTAAGAAAACCCATCTGAAAATTTCAAACGGTCAGTAAATATAGGATGTACAAGCTATAACAGTGTTTTTATTACACTTTAGAGTTTAAATCAAGGATGGTCTTTGAATTACAAACCGAAAATACGAGACAAAACACAGTTTTTTTTTTTTTTTTTATAGAGTATACTGGTGTACACCATTAAAATAGACAATTTCATTTTTATACATTAGAACAATTACTTATTTTTCAAATTATTACTTTTATACAAACATTATTATATATACAGTGTCACAAAATTGTGTATATTGAAGAATATTGAAATAGGAATTTGAAATAGGATCATTAATAAGGTTCGGCAATAATCCATTTCCTTATGGTCACTTTTTTCCATAAAATAAAACTTAAAAGTAATATTTATTTTGTACTGAAACCATTGTGTAATTCCATTTACAGTAGTTGTATTCACCTTCACAACACCTTGCACTTCATTGTGCTGGACTTGAAAATCTCGGACCTACTTAAGATATTTGTTGTTAAGCTTTTATAAACTGCCGATACACACGTTAATATCATTTAAAATTTTACAAAGAAGAGCATATTTTAAACTGATTTTATATCATGATAAAAAATGCATTTGCTTGCCGCTGACCATTATTGTTGATAAAAGATCTGCAGTTGTTTTCCAACATCAGTGATAATTAATCACATTCCAATTTCACGGAGGCCGGAGCCTAATGAAGCTAATGAGATTAAAATATCAATTGATAGATAACTAAACCAATAACTGCATGGATACAATTACATTTGCCGGCATTGCATTTTTTAATGTAATATTCAATTAACACGTTTGATCAAAATCTAAACTAATTACATTTTTTATCACATAGGCTATCACGGAGACGTAGATTTAAACAAGCTATAAGTAATCATAAAAATACTCAAATATACGTTGACTCTTCAGGACTAATCTTCTACTTATAAAAAGGTATGTTCAACTTTCAAGTAGTTCAAAAATACATTTTATTTTCCAGAACATGTTGTAAAATGTGCTTTCTGGTTGGTTAAAGTCATAACAGAAACATTTTGCATTTCAATCACAGGAATTGTCATTCAAAAATATTAGTTTTTCAAATGTAAATGCTTGAATTAAAAGTTATGCATTATCTTTTTTATGGTTGTATAAACTAATTAAAATGTCATATTGTTGTGGCAATAGCCAATATAATTTATTGGCCGCTTTATGTTTGGTATTTAAATCTATGTAATGAGTGTTCACATTTCAATGTTTCTCTTAGACTTATCAATTTTACACAACGTAAAAAAAGGTAAATTATTAAAAAGCTAGTAATCTTGTTAGGGGTGGATTTTATATTTTACCTATATTGTGGTTACACAATTTTGCAATGATCAAAGTAGCTATGCATACTTTGTTTTAAAAAATTTCAATAAAAAATCTAACCAAACACATTAAATTAAAATAATCTTCGTTTATTAAATATGTTAGAGAAAATCACCATTAGATACATTCAAGGAAAGTTAGACTATTGAATCCGTCTCTTGCACAGCTGAGGGTTCATTAAAACTGAAACTCAACAGGAAAGATTGTTTAACATTCTTCTTTGCCTGAAGGAAATTATCCTCTGTCAGACTAAGTTAGCAACTTTAGGACTTTGGTTGGCCATATTTCTTCTTCTTCTCCAGTGTTAATGTTTGCCGAGAATTTATAGCCTCGCTGGTTACAGGTTTACTTACTGGGCTAAATTACCTTTATATTTATCCATTATTTTAATGACCCTTTTACGTACTATGTGAAATATGTGATTATTCAGAAGGTGTTATATTATATATTCTAACAGATTAGTGATTACGAATGAATAATGAAATATTTGGCTTTAGTAAATATCTTTTAGTAATTTTCATTTAAAATTTTATTTGATGAAAATTCAAGTTGTATTTGTATTTAATTTGTAATATTTGTATTGAATAAGTAAGTAGTTGTTAAACACAAACAGCTCGAGCATATTCCTTGATAAACACATTTTAAATACCGTAACACATCATTATATCAATTCAAAACCTTTCAAAGGTAAAGGTACTTGTAGTGCTTTAAAAACACTTTTACTTACTGCTTGGTGAAATATAATTAATCACCACACACGATAATGGAACACATTTTCACATAAAGCCACTGGCTTAGTTGTAGTATTACTCTACTTAGGCTAAGGGCTGTTAAGTCCTGATTCCGTCAGAGCTTAGGTCTAAGACCTACTTAGTGTACTTTAGGTTTATTACAGTCACAAAGGGTTTAGGGCCCTTTCCTTAAAGTTCTGTGTAATAAAAAAAACAACTTATAGTGAAATTTTGTCAGGGTAGTGTCTTATGTTAGTAAATTAAGAAATCTCAAATGCTACATTTATTGACAACATAAAAAACATGTTTTAGGCGTGGATGGTTTTCAGTATAGGATCCAATGTAGATGTTGATAACCTTAAGTGTTTTTCGCTATAGTAAAACCATAGTAGTAGGTCTTACATTTAAATTTACTTTCAATTTGTAGCAGTGTAAGAATATTTAAGCCTTTATAGTCTAATGAAATAATCAGGGTGGTTTTGAATAAAATTATCATAGCTTCATAAATTGATCGAGCTCACAATAAAGAATTTCTTCAATACTAATGCATACTTATTATTTCTTTTAGGTTGAGAAAAATTATTTGAAAATGCATTTTACCCTCTTTACGACAGTTAAAAAGCTTCTACGAAACAGGATTTTTGTTTAAAAAACACTGTTTTATGGATTTAAAATAAACAATAAAATAATGTTTTTAGTTCATATGTTAGAAATCGTTAAAAGGGTAAAACATTCACAAAATTACTCAGCTTAAAAATAATAAGGGAAATGTTTTGAAATAATTAAACTATTGCATGGGAATGAAATATAAAATAAATAGACTAACACTTAGTCTAAATTGCATTCCTCAAATTAGAATATCAATCAAGACCAAAAACCTATAAGAAAGATGTTTAAATATTCCTTACCTCAAGGAAATTAGTTTTTAACTGACTAACTTTTGGAGTCAGAAAGCGTATAACTCTCGCTATAACTTCCACTCTTCGTCTTGTGTTTTAAGCTCTACTGGCAAGTTAATTATCATAAAGTTATTACTATTAGCTGTGGTTTCAACAAAATTATTATTTAATGTGGAGTTTAATGTGAATACGAAACTTCTGATATTACTGTACTGTTTTTAATACATTTTGTAGATATGATTAATTTTCCTTGGGAATGTTGGTGTGTGTGTTATATACGTATGTACTCTTACTATACACGTACACTGTGTGCTGTATACTGTACCAGATAATCTAATTATTTAACCCAATTAAACTGTAAATCGACTAAACATTTATATAGGTTATGTCGGCCTTACAATGACTTATGTTTTGTAAAACTTAATTAACTATATCCATAACAAATATGTCCACCTCACCGATGGATCTTGTTAGATTTTTCACGAGTTAATGAATTAAGTTTTTACCTTTTGGTCCTTGGATTCCCTCAGGACCTCTAGGACCTTCATCTCCTCGGTCTCCCTTCTCTCCTTTAGGTCCTGGCAATCCTCTCTCGCCCACCGGACCCGACAATCCCTGACATAGCATGTTGAAAGTAAAACACTGCCAGTATATAACTTTCCAAATACTTCCTAAATAGCAGGAAACACGTTATAAAAAGTAATATTTAATTAACAATGCAAACTTTGTAATTTAATTTAACCCAACACTGCTAGTTATGATAGAGAGTAATGTTGTACCTAAGATATTTATATCAACAAAACATAAGAAATTTAGGGTCAAAAATGTTTCCCTGAATTTAAACAAAGCTATGAAGTGTTCATGAAAAAAGGAAAACAAGGCTTTTGAGCGAACCTAATAAATCTAGTTGCTGAGCAGCTTAGCTAAGCTTTTTTATGTCAAACGTAAGTCAAATTATATTTTCCGAGGATTCAAAAGCTACTCTAAAAAAAAAAATCCAACAAGAATTCACAGAACACGACCTTTATAACAAGTTTTTAAGAGCGACTGAGTCATAAAAACCGAGAGCATAATTTAAAAGAATTTACTATTTAAAATATTTTCAATCAGGCCAATTTTGGCAAACAAAGAAAACTTTTGCTTTCCTAAATAATTACAACAAATGGCTTGCATTCCTAATAAATAAATAGAATTTTGATGGAATATCAATATTTGTATGCTCAAGTCATAATAATGAGGAATTAAAGTGTTGCAAAAAAAGTTGTAAATACCGGCATTCCAGGTGCGCCCGTCTTCCCGTCAGTCCCTGGAGGTCCTTGTACAGGCTCTGGAAGGTTGAAGTTCTTCAGGACTTCCGTAATGTTACAGGAACACTCCCCAGGAGGTCCTGGAGGACCAACTACTCCTCCAGCGGGCAGGAACTGCAAGTAAAGGACAAGAATAAGGGCAAGAAATAGTCTTTTTTAAGATATTCAATGCCAATGTCATTTTCTTTCAGGAGGTTCTTTAAAATCAAGCTATGACACTTGACTTGGAAGCATCATTAACTGGTAGCTCAATGATAAATATCAAGATCACGTGCTGGATCATACCAGCTGTTTTTAAATTCGAATACTATCATTTAAGTCGACCAAGAAAGAGATTTATGAAAAGCTTAAATTTATCTTCAGTCAAAATATACAACATAAGAAATTTACCTTTTATAAATTTGGGTAGAAATTAGAACTATTGAACTCTTGTTTCTTTACATAGTCAGGGTCAACATTACTGCGGGGTGACTTACAAACAGCCAACAGTAAGTTAACTTTAGCATAGTATAGATTTTAGTGGAAGCTTGAAACCAGAAAATGTTCTAATCGCTTCAGTGACATATCCTATTTTTTTCTAGATTTGTTCTAGATTCTTGAGTTAGCCCTCAGACCACCACCATAAATTTTTTTTTTCAGGGCTCTAAGACAGCATTTTTGCTTTATCAGCTGCGGAATTGGAAAAAGGGTATTAATAATTGTCATGAGTTTAATAAGACTAAAGAAAAAACTGAACACATATTGAGTTTAAATATTTACTACCTTACTGTCCGATGCTTAATGGCATATCTGTGCGTCTATACCTTTAATTGAAGACCGAAACTTTATAGATCGGTTTAGTTGAAGATCCAAACCGACTCGGAAAAGAAAAGCCAATATATTTAATACATAGATGTATCAACCTATGATTGACCCCATATTTTAAAATCTAAGCTTATATTAGTTATCCTATCAATAGAGTTTTGTGGACACTGTAAAAAATATATATTGTTTACATATCTTAAATTATATAGACTGGTTAACTTTCTTGAAATCACAACAACGCCCGACGGGTAAGCTAAATATTGGAAAAAGAAAATCTGTAAGAAAAGTTACTACAAAACAAGGTATGATATAAAAATATTTGTATAGTTCCTGCTACTGGGATGGTTGTATAAGAAAACATTGATGGTAACTATATGCTATATGAACATAAAATTGTTGATGCTCTAGGCAACTAGTACTACATTAGCCTATTTAGAATAGAATGGATGACACAATAAATGAAAATGGAAAAAGACAACTTAAAATAGAACACCAATATTTTAATTTAATTCACTAATTGCTTTTTATTTGAAATCAACTGATAAAGTTTTGTATGTGGCCAAAATTTATGTTATGGATGAAATAGTATTACAGAAAAGGAAATTTTATTTTTAGTAGTTTATTTATTTTATTTCAGTAATATCAAACAACTAAAAAAAAATAACTAAACGAAACCGAATACCATTTATGTAGAAACTCTATATGGAACTCTTCTACTGAACTAATGTGTGAATCGTCGAGACTGAACCCACTTTTATTTACCCTGAGACGTGTTTTCTAAAAGATTCTTTTTCGTCTTTCTTCCCTCAAAGCTCAAAGAAACAAGAGAATTTACTTTCACTTTGAAAGATCTTTTGAAATTGCCTACATCGCAACAATATTCTACATATGGGTTGTTGAAATAGATTAGACCTAATGATAAAGTCAAAGAAAAATAAACATTTTAAAATCATAACTTTATTTAGGCCTAACTCTCCTATCATCTATGGTCAAATATCTGATTGAATACAATACATTTAAGTTTTATTGTTTTGTGAACTATATAGCAAAAACATTGTTATATGTCTTCTTAAAATTCTATTTGATTTCTGTGGTTACAAACGGTTAAAATAGTCTTGAAAAAACTAATTAACAAGGCATCGCAATACTTTGTAAACAAACATTTATATGTAACAATTGCAATTACAGTACATAAATACGTTAACTAATGGGAGAAGAACGTTTTTTGTCGAACTTAAAAAAAATAAATATGTTTTGAAATGAAACACGAATATAGATTCTCTTATCAAAGTGTTTCAAAGGTAATTATACATAGATGTTAGTTGGTGTGCTTTATTTTACAACAAAAGTTAAACTAACTCTTGTTATTGCCCTCATTTGTTTCCTGAAGTCCCTAAATATTTAAATAGCGGGGGCTATGTTTTAACCCGTCACAGCTTGAAGATGAACCTTTAGGTTCGAAACCTGGGTCACTGACCTAAGTTCGGATCACAAACAGTACTACAGGTATTTAACCTTTTATTTATAACGTATATATCTAATATTACTTAACTTATATCTTCTATTCACTCACAGAAATCTAACTCATATATTAATTAATCTTATTTAGAGCTTCGAGATACTGTTTATTTGATATATTTAATTTTAAGAAAAAATGGTAAACAAAACAGTGCAAGAGATGAAACTAGAGCTCAGCAGCAAAGCCTCGAGAGCCTATTTTAAGTAGATTTTCCCGACAATATATGGCTCATATGTGGATATCAAAGTCACACAATAGAGCTTTGGAACACTTGACATGAGCAGCACCTCGGGTTGATTAAATGTAAATAAAGACATTGAGCCCTGAAGTTAAAAATATTCCTTTGATCAGGATATTGCCCGACTTATATGAGTGTATTTCATGCTTTGATTGCACATGCGAATGGTAAATTGCAGAATGTATCATGATACAAGGACTTTTAAATGGTTTTAAAATTATATTAAGGATGTAAACAATTTTTGTTTACATTAATTTTTTTGGTAATTTTATAAATGTTTGACACAATGACTGTTGTCATATGATCTTAAATCTATTTATATAGACTTATAAGACTTTAATAGACTTATATAGATTATAAGAATATTTAAGACTATTGGATAGCCTAACAACGTTTTCAATAAAATAGTAAGCTATCAATATTTTACTCAAAAACACACTTTATTAGTTTCCTTGTAGCAGCAAACCTAGGTACTCGTTAAACCTAATGTTATTAAAATATATTTAACTGAAAATCAATTCAGACAAATGGAAATTCGCTTAGTCTGCAGGTTTGCTGCGGCGGGGGTATTTTTATTTAATCTATCAAGAGCTTATAATTAACAATGCCTCCAATCGGCATAAAATGAGGTTTCATGTAAAATATTTACTTCTATATCTTCATATTCAATATTATGTTTATTTTATATTTTTCGTCGGCTCCGTTCGTTGAGTGTATATAAAGTACAAATATATTTCTCTCAACTTCGTTGTAATGTATAGTTTTACATTGCGGAATTATTATTACCATTAACAATAGATTTAATCTGTATTGTTTATGATGACAAATCTTTCTTAAGAACATGTAACTGTTTTGATAGTTTTAACTATGAAACCCCACCTGGAGGAAGTTGAAACACCACCCAACAAGGCTCTGCCCCTTTGTACTTTACGTTTAAACATGATTGTAATTCTAACTATTCACCGTCACAATATATTTTGACAATTCGTTAGAGAATCTATAGGATTTTGCGCATCAACAAATCAAAAGAAGAATATCGAATCCACAGAGGTCGGAGGTCTGATAGAAACGAACCCAAATCATAATTTCCTTTGACACTATGACAAATGGTACATCATATCACTGATGATTTACGTTTGATCCAGCTCTATTGCTTTGTGAATATTTGTGTTCATCTCTCCACAAAGAGTTTTGTAACTATTGTGTTTACACAAATATTTATCGTGATGATAGTGTTTTCAATTGGAAAAACAGTTTATTGTTATTATTCATGTGGGGGAATGGGTTTGAAATTGTTTACTGATAAAACGGAGGTCAAAGAAGTCTGCATTTAGTTAAATATTTAATTAAACATTACATTAAATTTATTTTATTTATCGGACTAGTGTGTCATGTTTTATGTTTTGCCAAAGCATGGTAAGATAAAATATACTTGTCGAAGATTTTCAAGTAACGTTTGAGATAAAGTGAAAATATGCTTTAAAACATTATTTTAAGCGTTAAGGAAAGGTATATATAAAATAAATAAGTTGCAAGAACATATTTTTAGAACTCTCCAATTGCCTCCTCCCTAAAAAAGATGGACTTGTAAGATAGTATTTTAATACGCCTCTAATACATCCTATACTTACTTAATACATCCCTATAAGTTTGATTTTTAAACATAATGACCAAACTCTACAAAATTTAATCAAAATCGGATGCATTTTTGGGTGATTTTGGCTTCTGGGGACCTCAAAACTAAAAAGTAAATTGTGTTATTATGTCTTATTATGAAACATACAGTAATAGCTTATTCCCTATGTGGTAAATTCACTAAAATATCAAAATTTAGTTGGTCAAGATTAAAAAAAAATTCCCACCTCATTTTTTCGGGTTAAAACTTTCAACAGCTCTTAAATTGTTTATTTTTCCAACCAAAAATGCCAAATTATGTTATAAAAATTGAAAACGTGAATTAACAGTACGGCTTTGTATGTTGGTAAAATAATATGATTCGGCAAACTCACTCCGATACTAAAACAACTAAATCTTACTTCGGTATAGCTTGGTATCCAACCACCATTATGTAGTATGTTGCTCATAACAATACATTTACTTAAATAATGTCCTAATGTGTTCAACTCACCCCGTCATCACCTGAACCAAACTCAGGAAGTCCTGATGTTCCTCTAGGATTGTAGGGAGGTCCCGGTGGACCTGGAGGACCCTCTATTGATTCGCCAGGAGGTCCCTAAGGATAAGATACTAACTGTTACACTAATAATGAACAATTCGAGCAAAAACTACGTCAAAGTCTATAGTATCATATTTTGAAGACTTTTGTTTTAATGAAGCAAACAACAAACAACATTTTGTTTGAAGTATATTTTTAAAAAGAAACACAATAACCTATTCCTGTTTAGCAAACGTAAATCTCAATATTCTTTGACAGCAAGTTTTGGGACAGGAAGAGTAATAATTGTGACAGGAAAAGTAATATGGTCGTAGTTTTTAAGCAAAAAAATTTTGATATTCGTGGAATTCAGTAGAATATTAAGATATTTTAATACATAGGTATGATGCATAGAAGGTAAATCAAGAACACAAATCTTCAAAGTGGTATTATGGATTTGAAAATACATCTACCATTCATAGTCTTTCTACATAATTTAATTACTACATACTGAAGAAGGCTAATGCCGAAATAAAGAAATTTTTTGTTAAAAGTGTGTGAATGGTTTAACTTTTATAATGATTTAGCCACTTGGCCATACTATGAAGAAACTATTACTACATAATTTATAATGCATACTTTGACCTCAATGTAGTAAGAAATTTCTATTTGAAAAATGTTTACATTTTTTACAGTTATGAGTCTGGGAAATCTACGACTGTTTTAGTGCTATATAAATATTCATACCTTTTAACATTTATGTTGCTGTAGGTTTTTATAAAATTTTATTAGTACACTTAAAAAAGAGATAAACAAAATTAACTGCAATTATTTCAAAGAAACAGTAAACTAGAACTACGTGATAAATAAACAATAACAACTCATATTAGACCCCGATTGGCGTTATAAAATTACCATTTGGGAAGTTAATTAAGGGTCATAATTTCCTTCCAATTGATCATAATACATAGCAATTAACTCTCTAAAACGGTTAAATTGTGCATTTGGTTTAATTTCCTACCAGACATGAGAGATTCCTATTTGAAAGAACATTGTTAAATAATAAGCCATCCGGAAATGTGACCGATTCTGGTTTAATTGGGATCATGCGATAGAAATACCTGCTTAGTGATCGATAAGTAATTTTCAGTATTTATAGGTATAAGTTGCTCGAATCAAATTTGTTGTTACGTATTTGTTGTTTATCCGATCAAAGATTGTTCCAATAAATTACAAGATTGGACTCAGGTAAAAGTAAATATCAATTGATTATTATTTGACAAAAGACTCCTTAATAAATATTCAGTTAAAATAAACTATAAAGTGTGTTTATCTATCAGCCAACTAAATAAACATGTTTACAGTACAGTACTTTAGTGATGGCAATGTATGATTGGACAGTTCGTTAAAATTATAAAGATAGGTAAGAACAAAATGGCATAGAATATGAAAAAATGTTTATGTACTTACAGGCTCTCCTCTTTCTCCTTTTTGCCCCTTCATTCCGGTGAATCCTACAACAATAAACAAAAATAAATGAAATTTAGGTAAAGAAGAAATAAAAACAGTCACGATTAAAAATACAGAATGTCCCGGAACTCTCTACCAATATTTTAGGGCATTTCTCCTAGGTAAGAAACATACCTAAATTTCATATTTAAATTGTCCGGAAGTCCTTAGTTACTCACACAGCCGCCATCTTGTTTTTTTTTCAATTATTATATTTTTTCTAAAGAATGGTTAAACATACGAAATGGAAACTGTGCACAAACATTTATGACAACTAGTCAAAGCTACAAAAAAATTATGACGATTTATCAAATCCATAAAACAAAATGGCGGCCGTTTAAAATTTTGTTTCTGAAATAGCTCGAAAACCGCTGATTTTACAAACATTTAAACGGCCGCCATTTTGTTTTATGAATTTGATAAATCGTCATAATTGTGTTGTAGCTTTGTCTAGTTGTCATAAATGTTTGTGCAAAGTTTCCATTTCGTATGTTTAACCATTCTTTAGAAAAAATAATAATAATCGAAAAAACAAAATGGCGGCTGTGTGAGTAACTAAGGACTTTCGGACAATTTAAATATGATATTTAGGTATGTTTCTTACCCAGGAGCAATGCCCTAAGATATTGGTAGAGAGTTCCGGGATACCCTGTATAAGAAAGAATGTAAACAAGGATAGTGAACAAATAAAGTTTTACAGTAAACGAAACAAATACAACACGGCTTGGAAATTGAAAGCCAAACCATGCTGAAATAATTGACTACAATAATAAACTAAAACATTGGTAAAACTGATGTACGAAAATAGGAAAAAATGTAGATTGACGGCAAAAACTTAAAAGCTACACATTATTTCGTCTTGGGATTACGTAAAAAAATATAGCTTTGATTTAATTACTTTTTACACCAAAATATATTTTATTTTTAAGATATTAGTATATCTTCTTTTAGTTAGTTGTGCTTAGGTCTGCGCATGTCCGTCAAACCAAATCACCAACAACATTTTCCAAATTAAAAAAACTACGTAAATGTATTATTAAATATACAATACATAAATTAAGAGTATCGACTACAGGATTGTTATCGTATATGGTAGAGTGCGGATGGACATAGTCTTGAGCCTTGGTTCACATTCGGGGATTATACATTGTAATCCATGGGAACCACACAAGCTTCCCCAGAAATCCACTCTCTGTAGCGTAAATTATACACGTGGCTTGAAACTCATTGGAAATGTATTTAATTTACAAATAACAAATGAAAGCGATAGGCCATATAGGAACAAGTTCTTTGTATTTTTACCAATGAAATGTTTAAATGCAAAAATGTATAAGATAAAGATTACAATGGTAGACCTGACACTGTGACCAAACTGTATTGAAACCCTGTCAAAATGAAAATTTAAATAGCTTTGTAAAAAGGTAGTTTAAACATTGCGTAGCCTATATTACGTTTAAGTTATTTTCAAGAGATTGGTCGTATGATAAAGCTACAAATCTAACCGAACCCCATTCTAACGTCAAAGAATAGTTATGCATCGTCATTAGATTGTTTTGGAACATGTTGCGAGAAGTAAGTGTATACAACAACCGGTTAAAAGGAATTGGTGAAAAAAGACATTTTTGTGGCACTATAATACAAATATTAAAATAATAAAACATTACAATTTTTTTTGTAACAAATAATAAAAGGCTTAAACGAAACTCTTAACTTATTCAAATGTGCTACAAGGAAACACAGTGAAAGACTTGTCTTTATAGAGTCTTTGGTGTGGAAATTTAATTTTAATTCCAAACAAAGTTTTCAGCGTTATCTTGTTTGCGCTCATGAATCCGCACAAACACATTTCCCCGGCGTTAGACTGGAAAAACATCCTTTACACAAGGGAGATGCGAAAGCCATGACTAAAACTCGCTCTATATTCGTTTTATAATGTTCAACAAACATTTTAACTTTGCTTTAATGTTAAAACATATCAAGATTCGTTTTTTCTTAGCTAAATATTATTCCACTTGCTCCAGTTAATGATTAAATTTTATAGACTGATATAACTATTTTGTCGTTTGAAAACTCAAATTTGTCACAGGCCCATACTTGACCAACCTTACTAAAACACATACAGGGTGTAGAAAATGTCTGGAACCAGCATTATATCTGGTGAGTGGTTAAAGAAATACAACTGATATTTTGTGTACGGATATACTATGGTTTTACCTATCTTTTGGTGCCTTATGACATTTTTTACCACTTATAGGGAACGTCCTGTGGAGGATGCAGTAAAAAGTTTTAATGGAAGCCTATGGTAAATGATACATCATTTAAAAGGCCGTTTTTTTCTGAGTAAGGAGCCACAAGTTTCATCTCAAAAGGACCACGCTAGCGAAAATGGTGACTGTTTAAAGTTTTTGAAAATAATTGAATTTTAAATTTCAAACAGTCGCCATTTTTGCTAGGAAGGTCCTTTTGAGATGAAACTTGTGGCTCCTTACTCAGAAAAAATTGGCCTTTAAAATGATGTATCATTTACCATAGGCTTCCATTAAAACCTTTTACTGCATCCTCTACGGGACGTTCCCTATAAGTGGTAAAAAATTTCATAAGGCATCAAAAGATAGGTAAAACCATAGTATATCCATATACAAAATATCAGTTGTTTTTCTTTAACCACTCACCTAATATAATGTTGGTTCCAGACATTTTCAACACCCTGTATAGAATTAATGTACAGAAAATAATATAAAATTTTTATGAAATAATTATACAATCAAAATCGCTTAAGCTGAGCTTTGGGAATCCATGAATATTCAAAAGAGCATTAATTTTCAAAATATAAAACAAATTGTAACCACTACAAGATAATTTAACTTAATTCATAAATTAATAAATTTACTTTTTTATTTCGAAGCAAACCTAATATTCTTTAACGTCAAATACCAGTAAGGTGTAATGTTTGGGAATAAGATTTTTCAGAGAATTAGGCTTACTCTTATTAATAATTATAGAGTCAATACCTTTACACACATTTGACTTACATTATTGATGTCATCTCTAGGTATAAGGTGATATTTCCAATAATGAGGGTAAATGTGCTTTATTTTCCGTTTAAGTTACAGGATGCCTGTATTACATATACCTAAACTGGAAATAGACTCACAACACATATGTTATAAACGGCTGTTTTTGCTGCACTATAACGAAACAAATATTACTCAAGTGATATACGAGTACTATACTAGATTTGACAAAGAAACAAAGCTTCAAAGCCCTGATTGCTGTAAAAGGACCAACAAAAAAAAATTAATCACTGTAGTAAACAGTAAACAAATTTCCCAACAGTTTAGAGGTTGACTGAAGCTGAAAAATGAATGAATATAATATTATAAGTACTCCGATCCTTATCTTTTGAAGAAAAAAAAAAAAATTTGTTTACGACTTGTATTTGCACTAACTTTTGTCAGATGTTAAGATTTATGAAGACTTGAGCTTTTAGCTTTAACTCTAAAAGACGAACATCGTTCACCTTTACGATTTCCTTACATTCAAACAACTTTGACACCTCAAAGCTAAAACAGTACGTGTCTCTGAACTGTATTCATTAGTAATGATTAAAATTAATGACTTTATATGCAACAAATTTGGTATTTTTTTCATATTTATTTTTAAGTTAAATGAAAAAAAAACATTTACTCAGACATTTGCTATTTCAATGGAAATAGTTTTGAAAACCATGAAAGTACACAAGTAAAAGCATTCAACAACTATTTCTTTGACACAATGCTTTTCCTTTAAAAGCCACGAAGTACGAGGCCACTTAGGCACCAGAATGTTCTTTAGAAATACTTTTTATTCGTTTCTAAAATTTATACAAGCAAAAAATAATTATTAGCAAATGTTTAGTGACTGATTCTAATAAGTATTCTAATATGCTCGGGACTTCAGTCCCTAAGGTCCCGGATTACAATCCCCCCTAAATCAACGATGGATTCTATCTATGTAATAATGTCGCAATTCCTTGGGGAGCGAGCTGTAGTGGTTACAGCGCGGGACTCTGGTTCCTGAGGTCCCGGGTTCAAATCCCGCCAAATAACCAATAGATTTTATAGAAGTAATAATGCCGTAACCCCTGAAGTAATGTGAAAAATGATTCCGGGCTCGAGTCTAGCTTTCTAGGACAAAATAGTATAATATAGTTTGCTTTATTAAACTGGAAACGCTGTTTCAACATCGTATCTTAATCATTTCTTGTTCCAAGAGGTTAACCACGCCATCCATTGCCCGTCCACATCCCTAGGAATTGCGAGTAAAATGAATATAGCAAATCGAGAAGCGACCTGTTACAGTACAATACTACCAACCTCGGTTACTTCGATCTGTCAGTCGCTCTACCTAAATATCCACCGACTCGCAAACTAAATTACAGTGACGGATATTGTTTAAAATTTAATACTGTATCTCAATAATAACAAGCTAAGAGTTAGATTTTTTTATATGAATATAAAAATTATATTTCAAAAGGATTTTATGTTATTACGGTCAAGAGTATACTATACAAGTTTATAAACCATGTTTGTAAACCAAACTTGCTAAGTTTATTGATTTAAATTCACCGTTCTAAAATGAAAGTAATTATTTACAGATAACATTTAAAACATCTTTTAAGAAGAGAAAAAAATCATGCTGAAGTATACATATACAGAAACATCGAGGAGATGAGTATCAGCCCCAGAGGAGTAAACATTGCTATTTCTCTTGAGGGTTGTTTCAATAGTATCTCGGAGTGGTTTTGGTGGAATGTTCATTTCACATCTGCACTTGCATTGTACTCTTATAGAGGAGAAAAATAATATGTACAAAATTGTTTGTTATTTTTATTTTATTCACTAAGTAGTCAAACAAGACGATAAAAAATTGCTGTTTAGGTTTTCACCATACATTATGTTAGGTAAATATTTGGAGAATTTAAAAAGAATTTTAGTTTATTGATCGTTAATGATACAAATTTCCA